CCAGCCTCTCATTACAGGGAGGGGACAGCAGAACTTGGCAAGGCCCTTGGGCCATGTCACCTGGAGGCTCCATTCTGCAGAAGTGTCCACTACTGTAGAGCCTGGGGGTGGGTGTGGGGAGTGGGGTGCCTGTGGGCTTCCAGTGATCAGAACTCAGGGTGCTGGTGTATCAGTTTTCTGTTGCCGCTGAGACACGTTACCACAAATATGTGTCTGAAAACAACACATTTATTCTCCTACAGTTAGAGAGGTTGGAAGTCCAAAGTCAGTCTCACTAGGCTAAGCTCAGGTGTCGTCAGCAGGGCTGCTTCACTCTGGAGGCTGCAGAGGAGATCTATTGCTCTGCCTTTTCCAGCTTCTAAAGGTTTCCAAACTTCCTTGGCTCATGGCCCCCTCCTCCATCTTCAAAGTGCATCACTCCAACCTCTGCTTCTGTCATCACATCACCTTCTCTCTGACCCCGTCTGTGTCCCTGTTTTGAGGCCACAATGGTCACATTTAGGACCACCTGGACCATCCAGGATACTAGGCCCGTCCCAAGATCTTTAACTTACTCTGATCTGCAAATTCCCTTTTGCCATGCCAGGTGATATGTGCACAGATTCTGGGAGTAGGATGAAGACATCTTTAGGGGCTGTCATTCAGCTGACCACGCTGGGTTTTTCTGTCCCTGAGCTGTCATACGTTTCCCACAGGAGGACACGGGTCCCTGGTTAGCTGCCACAGGTAAGGCTGCCTTAAAAAGTCCATGGTTCCTGTCATCTGAAGACCTTGAGGCTTTACCCCTTCAGAGTCTGGCTCACTCCACCCAGCACTATTAAATTGCTTTCTGTAGCCAGCCCTGGGGCAGAAAGCTGCAGAGAAAAGAGGGAGGTGGGCTCAGGGACATAGGGGTCGGACAGGGTAGGGTCCCTACTTGCTCAGAACTGCTGTGTCCACTGCACAGCACGTTCCATCTCTTGGGGAGCTTTACAGAAATCCTGCAGCCAGCAAGTCCCAGGTCAACATCTGCAGCCCTGTGGGTGGGTCAGGCACTGGCAATTTGAAGAGTTCCTCAGGTATTTTCGTGTGGCCAAGTTTCAAAATGCTGTTCTAGAAGTTTAGAATCAGGCAGAGGGAAAAACACATAAATACTGGTGATGGAATTTGCTGTGTACTTGTTTTAACAGCAGCTAACACACACACAGCTCACTGAACCCGCCTAACGGCCTAAAGGGTAGGAACTGTTGTCACCCCATTGCACAGGTGACTCCAGCGAGGCCCAGATCAGAATCAGTGAGTGAAAAGATCACCATTCAGTCCTAGGTGCCAGGTGCACTGGCTCTTGAGACCTGCCCTTATTTGTCTTCTAGAACTTTCTGTCACCCTCCAGGAAAACAAGCCAAGGTCACTTCTGAAAGTTCTTAACCTGTCATGTGACCCATACTCTGTGGAGAAGGAAAAGAAGGACCCTGGGAACAACTTGATGACAGTTGCTCGCCTGATAGCGAAACACAGGAGAGACAGTCCCGAGTTTGGGCACTGGGCTAAGCCACCACCTGCCTCGTCCTCAAGTGCACCAGTGTGCCACCTCACTGCCTTCCTGTGCACCAGAGTGCCGCGCGCCCACAGACATGGGGCCCTGCGTGGTGCCTTTCTGCTGCCAGAAAGGTCAGCAGCCCTGGGATGCTGGCAGAGAGAGTATATCAAAGCCCCTCAGAATTAAGAGGTTTTCCCATTGAGTGGAATTTCACAGCCCAGTGGCCAATTTCCAAGTCATGCACGTTAATAGGCAGCTAATGAGGGACCCAGGCAGGGGCAGGGAGGTGTGGGGAACGGAGATTAAGGAGTACAAAGCTGCAGCCCGCTGGTCTTTCTCCCTGCCTTAGGGGTGGTTTGGGAGAAGAAAGTAGGTGGTTGGGGCAATGGAAGGCCTGGGGGAGCCTAAACTTGCTGGCTGCTGTACTGACTCCACCTGCTGCCGCCCAGCCCCTGCCTCCCCACCGCGCCCCACACCAGCCTCAGCCCCTACTGTAGCAAGACGGGCCTTTCCCAGGTGCCCCAGCCTGGGTCTCCACCCAGGGGACTCCAGCCCCGAACACTTGGGTCTTCCTGGGAACGTTGGCAGTGCCCCTGGCTGAGCCTTTGCACAGAGATTCCCCACTCCCCTGAATGTCTGCCCCTCCCTCCATTTTTACCAAAGGTGCACAGACTTCTCAGCTCCTGCGCCTCCTCCAGCCCCTCCCCACCACCCAGTCTCACAGTTCACTCCCTCGGTTCACTCCCTCTCCCACTGGACCGAGGTTGTCTAGTCTTGACCTCCCCACTCAACAGTCTGTCTCCTCCTCCAGAGCAGAGACCTTCTCTTCCACCCCTGAATCCCTAGGGCCCAGCATGCAGTGGGTGCTCAATCAATCTGTGTTTGTCAAACAACTAACTGAAGACTGAGAACACAATCAGACTCCAGATACACGGGATGTCGTGGGCTGAATAGTGGGCCCTAAAAGATATGTTCGTGCCCCCAGAGCCTATGAATGTGACCTTATTTAGAAACAGCGTCTTTAGAGGTGTAATTAAATTAAGATTCCTGAGATGAAATCATCCCGGAATATCTAAGGCGGCCTATATCCAATGATAAGGACAGGACACGCACAGGGAGAAGGCCACGTGAAGACGGAGGCAGAGACTGGAGGGACGCAGCCACAAGCCAAGGGACGCTTGGAGTCCCCAGGAGCAGGAGGGGGCAGGCAGAGTCCTCGCCCACAGCCTTGGGAAAGAGCTCGGCCTTTCTCAGACTCCGACCATGAGAGGATGAATTTCTGTGGTGTTAAGCCCCGCAGCTTGTGGAAATTTGTGACAAGCAGATTCAGATCACTGCATGGGGGATATCTTGCGACTTTCCTTTTTCTCTCTTTTCTGGAGTCTGTGTATTCATCCTCCATTTATTCATTCATGCATTTTTTTCATTCATTCAGCACTTCCTGTCCGGGGCACTGTCAGAGTCAGGGCAGGGTGTGGGAGACAGCATGACATCACAGACTTTGAGATGACACACACCCAAGGCTGAATCCCAGTCCTGTCGCTTGCCAGCAGTGACCTTCTGAGCCACTGGCTTCGCCCGCCTGAGCCCAGTTCCTGCTCTGTGCAGTGCGAGGATGGCGACACTCCTTTGGGATTCGGTGTGGGGGTGTCCGGCACTTGCTGTGAGCACAGGTTCCCGGTGAGCACTGCTCTTGTGGTAGCAGCGTAATTAATGCTGCCAGAGATGTGGTCCAGCTCTGAGCAACTCAGCCCAATCCCGCTCCCTTCTTACTGGTGCATGCTGGGAGGCTGGCCACATGGTCAAGCCTGTCAAGCGTTTATTGACTACCTGCTGTGCGGAGCCTGAAAAGGTATGAACAGAGTCTGCCTCAAGGAGATGACACAGTCGGGGGTTGAGACCATTAGAAACCGCTTGGAGAAAAAGTGTGGGGGCCATCTGGTGTCCTACAGATAAGGGCTGATTGATGCTCTGGGCATTGAAGATGTTTAACTGAAAGCAGCGATTCTCAAAGTGGAGTCCCTGGCCCCACAGCATCAGCACCACCTGGGAGCAGGTAAGAAGAGCAGATCCTCAGACTCTGCTCCAGATCCACTGAGTCAGAAAGAAATGCTGGGGATGGCCCCACAGTCTGTTTTAACACACTTGAGGGGCTTTGAGCCTGCATGTCAGGGATAAACAGGGGTGCATCTGAATTCAAGATCTGACCTTCATGGGCCTGCATTTTCTGGAACGGGGCCGTTTTTGATACTCCGCCATGTTAGCTGACAATGTGTGGGCTGCAGAGGTGGTCTCAAAGTGTGGGACCAGTGGCTCCTGCCTTCCCAGAGTTTGTGAGAAATGTAGAATCTCAACTCCTCTCAAGGTGGAATGAATCGGAATCTGCATTTTAACAAGACCCCCAGGTGGTTCTTGTGCACATTCGGTTCGGGAGCATCTCAGTGAAACACCTGCCGCCTGCCTGGGCCTTTGCCTCAGTCTGGAGCTTTCCTCATCCCCTGTGAGGTGGGCATACAGTGTGTGACTTTCTTTCACACCCTACTAGCAGGTGACAAGACACTGAGCTCCATGCTCTTTCCATGCCCCGTTCCTCAGACTGGGGGCCTCAGAAGAAGGCATTAGATAAGCTGACCCAGGTCACTGCATGAAATCAGGTGTGCCTCCTTGATCTCTCCAAGCTGAGCTCCCTGTAACCCGCTGGCCGTCAGGAAAAGCCCCGCCCCTGGGAGGGGCCTGGGATGGGTGGGGTAGTCTTAAGACTCCCGTTCTCAGGCCTGAAGTCTCAGAAACTGCAAGTTCTTGGGACAGATGGCTCTGACTTCATGTCCTTGTCTCCCTAGGTTTTTGGACATGACCCCAACACATGCTCTTTAGGGCTCTCTTAATTCATGACTCATTATTCACTCCAGCAAAGCTAGAATCTTCCTTCTTCCATCTCTCCTGGGCCCAAGAAATGCAGCTGAACCACCTGGGACAAGCCTGAGTCCCCTTCTGCGGTGGCCAAGGACTGTCTCTCGCCTTGAAGTTTGCATTTGGAGGTAAGGATTGGGGGCTGGAGCACTGTCAGTGCAGAAGTCTGGCTGGAGGCTGAGGGGTGGGGGAAGTGGAAGGGTGAGGGCGGTGATGGGCAGGAAGAGTTGGAGGTTTGAAACGGGGAGGAGGAAGGGGTCCAGTGGCCTTGGGGCAGGGTCGGAGAGCCGGAGTGATAATAAACAGGGTTAGAAAGCTAGAGAGAGAGCGAGGGACGGTTCTTGAGGTGGAAAGTGGTGAGGACCGTAAGTTACAAGCCACTGAGCATGTAATGTAAAGGGGGAGCAGAGGTACAGGAAGAGGAAGATGGCGGCTTGGGGACACTGAGACATATGAGGTGGCTCTGGCTGAACTGGGGAGAGAGACCTGTCACAGGTTGGGAATGATGCCGTGAACTGGGAAGAAAGTACGAAGACTGCCCCCTCTCTCTGCCCCTCAGCTGCTTCTAGCTATGGAGGGACAGACCCTTGGAAGCAGAGGCCTTTCAGAAAAGCCTGCAGCCACCAGCCCAGGTCTGTCCTCGCTGGGTGCTGTCTTCATTCTCCTGAAATCTGCGCTGGGGGCTGGCCTGCTCAACTTCCCTTGGGCCTTCCACAAGGCGGGTGGAGTGGCCCCCGCCTTCCTGGTGGAGCTGGTAAGACCCTGGGGAGTGTTTGGGGGGGGGCAGGGGTCTCCTGGAGCAGGACCTTCTACAGAGCTGCCCGTCTTAGAAACTATATCTGTGGGGTTTGATTTTCTGACCTGCTCAGCTCAGGAGAGAAGATAACCCTCAGGCAGAGAACAGCCTCTACCTGCTGAGGTCTGCTGCCAGCCAGGGCTGGGGAGGATCCAGTGATCCTGGCATTTCAGCCGGGAGGAGGCTGGGAAGATGCAGTCTCTGAGCAACTACCTGGTCAACTGGCTTCTCTTGCCTGCTGGTCTCAGCTCCATAACCAAAGCGTCAGTCCATGTGCAGATCAGATCAGGACTAAGACTCCCTGTGACACCCGCACACCAAGCTGGGCCAGGCCCCCCTCGATGTCAGAGGCCTTCAGCCACAGCTGCGGGTTGCACGGAGCCTGAATTCCCTTTCCAGACAGTCCAGGGGCTGAGTGTCCTTGGAGAAGAGCTGCTGATAAGCGCGGCTTCATTTTGTTTGCAAAGATCCTTCTCCCTGGCTGATGGGAGCCGCCGTGTTTTGTGGTAAGCTCTTTGACGGACATTATCTCAAATGATTTTTTTTATGACAACTAGCTGATAACAGGCGGTTCTAACTGTTTGTGAGCCACAGAGCCTTTCGTGTTCTTTTGGAAACTGCCAAATTCTGGGCTATGTAGTGTCGGCCGAGCACTCGCTCTGGCATTGGAGGGCTGACAGTGTGGGCTCTGTTCCCATAAAGCTTATTCTAATAGGGAACTCAGATAAGATACAAGAAGTCAAATAAGATAGTTTCAGACGGTGTGTAGTGCTCGAGGGTCATGTGACCGAGCAATGGCATGATGTGGGTGGTCAGGGGAGGCCTTTCTGAGGAGGTGGCGTTGAGCTGGGCCCAGGGGAAGTGGAGGAACTGGTCCAGGCGCATGCGAGGGGCAATAGAGCTGTGTTTGGACCCATGCAGCAGAAAGGCCGCCCTTCCCGAACAATGAGGAAGAAACTTCCTCTCCCGCCACAGCGTGTGAATGATAAAGCAGGTGGGGCTGCAGGAGAGGGGGCGTGGTCTGGCCCAGATATGGCCAGTCCAAGGGTGGCAGGCCAGGCTGTGTGGCACAGCCGTGGGTCCCCACTCCTCACGCTTTGTGCAGCATCACCTGGGCACCTTGCCGAAGTGCAGATGCTGACCCAGCAGGGCTGGGTGGGCCTGAGACTGCAGTTCTACGGAGCTCTAGAGTGACAGGGCTACGGCTGCTGCTGACGTGGCTTGCATATGGTGCAGAGTGGGCTAAAGATTCCTGCCATGAGCAGACTGGAGGAGAGGGGACGCAAGCACAAATAAACGGAAACTCTAGTCAAAGGAAGGAATCAGGCTGGTCATGGGCGCCCCCACCTCCAGCGTTTCCCCTCCTCTTAGCCAGCAAGATGTCTGTCCCTGTCCCTTTTACAAGGCCCCAACTTGAACAGAGGGAGCATTTAAACATCCTACCACTGGCAGGTTGGTGGTGCAGGGTTATAGGTCTTGCCCCCGTTAGCATTAGAGGATTCCTGATATTTAATGAACCCCAACCCTCTCTAGGAGCTGCAGAGAGTTGGAGCCTGGGTACAGGGTGCTAAGGGCCCTTTGCTGTCCTGCTGCTCAGGGGCTCCCTCTGACCCTCCCTCCCTTCCCATTCTCTTCATCCACAAATATCTACGTAGTTCCTGCTATGCGCTGGGCACTTCTATGGGAGCTAAATGGTAAGCAATAAAAGACACAGTCCCAGACTTCACCGGGCTTGGAGTCTGTGGGTGAGAGACCTCTGTAATATATGTACAGTTGTGAGCATGTGTCCTCGGGCTGCAGGACCAAAGGACCATAAACCAGGGAGGTTAAAACAACGGAAGTATAACCTCTCACGACCCTGAACACCAGAAGTCTGAAATCAAGGTGTCAGCAGGGCCCTGCTTCCTCCAGAGGCTCTAGGAAAGAGTCCTTCGTGCCTCCTCCAGCTCGGTGGCCCTGGGAGTACCATGCCATATGGCCACATCACTCTAATCTCTTCTCCGTCGTCACACTACCTTCTCTTCTCTGCGTCTTCTCTTTTAAGGCCCGTTGTCATTGGATTTCAGGCCCACCCAGATTATACCGGTAAAGACCCTTTTTCATTTAATGCCATATTTATTACTTACAGCTGCAAAGACTGTGCCCAGGAAGTCACTCACACAAGTTCTGGAGCTGAGGATGTGGCCTTATCTTCTGAGAGACCACTATTCAGCTTACCGCAGGCACAGATGTGCCCAAGAATGTTACACTGAGTGGACGAAGCCAGATACAAATCGTGTGAAATTAGAAAAATGTTAGATTAGTGGTTTCTTCTGGGAGACAGGATGGGTACAGAGAGTGATCGGGAAGTGGCAGGAGGGGACATCAGGGGTGTGGTAGTGTGTTCTGTATCTCTTAGGGGTACGCTTGTTGTACCTCTTCCAGTTGATGCCTTTATACAGGTAACACACAGCCCATGCAATTTTTGAAGAGTCATTTAGATGCTGGGTTTCTGATGCCTCATTTGTCCAACTGGGTAGAATGGTATGAATCCCAGATTCACAGATTGACAGAGAGCAAGGCCTTGACAATCCACCCGCTTTGCAGCTCTGGTTTCAGGACAGGAGGGGAGCCCCCAGGCTGCAGGCAGCTGTGACTTCTGCAAGTGAGAGGCCCAGTGGAGGGGGCCATATTGAAGTCCCGGGAGCAGCTGGCTCGGGCTGTGGTGGTGGGCGTGCCCTGGCCCACAATCCTCCTCTGCAGGTCTCCTTGGTCTTCTTGATCAGTGGGCTGGTCATCCTGGCTTATGCTGCCTCCGTCAGTGGCCAGGCCACCTACCAGGGCGTGGTCGGAGGGCTGTGTGGCCCTGCCATCGGGAAGCTGTGTGAGGCCTGCTTCATCATCAACCTGCTCATGATCTCTGTGGCCTTCCTCAGGGTGATCGGGGACCAGCTCGAGAAGTGTAAGTACCTTTACTGGAGTGGAGGGTGGCCCCAGGGTTGGAGCCTGTTATGCTCCTGGTTAATGAGCAGGACATGGACACTGGGATGGCAGAGACCAAGACCACCCTGAGCTCCTAACATCATAGGGAAAGGAGGCTTGGAATCAAGGGATGCCGTAGCTGGGATGTCTAATGGGGTCAAATGTCTAGTGGTTTTACAAATGGGAAAGTGCAGTCAACTACAAAGAAGCCCTCATGAGAGATAACCAGTAATGTCTTAAATTTTGGGATGTTGAAGACTTGCAACGCATTAACCTCGAGCACCTTGGCCTCTAAACCCCGCCCCTAACAATTTTCCTCTAAGCACTGCTTTGGCTGCATCCATTTTCATTTTTATTCTCTTTAAAACATTTACTAACTTTCACTCCGATTTCTTCTTTGGCTCATGGGATGTTTAGCATTGTGGTTTGATTTCTAATTATTTGGGCATTTTCATAGGTTTTGGTTTCTACCTTAATTGCATCGTGGTCAGAGAACACACTCTGCGTAATTTCAGTTTTTAGGCATTTGAGATTTGTTGTATAGCTCCCCACATATTCCATCTTGGTGAGCGTTCCACGTGCGCTGGAAGGATGTGTATTCTGCCATTGTTACATGCATTGTTCTAGGATTCTCTATCAGGTCAAAGTGGTCCAGCTTTGACCATATCATCTTCCACAGCCTTGTTGATTTTTTTGGTCTAGTTATTCTGTCAGTCTGAGAGAAGATTATTAAAATCTCCATCTGTGATTGCAGATTTATCTATTTCTCTCTTTAATCTGTCCATTTTTTTGCTCATGATTTTTGAAGCTCTGTCATTAGGCACGCACACGTGAATTACCCTTTTATTATTGTGAAATAATACCTTGTCATTAAATCAACCTTCTCTGCTATGAATGTAGCCACTCCAGCTGCCTCAAGATTAGTGTTTGTGCAATATTACTATTCTCGTCCTTTCACTGTGAATCTAACTGTGGCCTGGGATTTTAAAATGCATCTCATGTAGACAGCATATGGTTGGGTCTTGCTGTTTTATCATCTCAATGACCTCAGATGTTTAACTGGAATGTAATTATTGATATGATTAGACTTCAGTCTACCATTTTGCTATTTCTTTTGTTTGTTCTGTCACTGGAACCATGCATGAAAAGGCCCCTGGCTTTGGAATACTGAAATAAAAGCGTCCATGTTTTGGGCACCACCCTTATCCCAAAAAGCATCGAGGTTGGTAGATCTGAACCTCGCGGTGGGTAAACGGGTACAAAAATGTCCTGCTTGCCAGTGGCAAGTCGAGATCATGTCAGTTTCAATTCTGGTCATCTGGTAGTGATGCTGTGTGAAGGATTTTGAGGTTGCCTTCAGGCTCAATAGCAGAGCGCGTGAAATGAGTAGAGCGTCGATTAGAATACAGGCCATCTTGGCTCTGCATTGACTAGAGTGGAGAGAGCATTGTTTGCATGTTTCTGGTTAGGTATTTGGGGATGGGTCTTTCTGTAGGCAAGTCCAAGCTTCTTGATAAGAGGGCTACATAGAGGTCGGGGAAGTCACTGCATGTACTGGGTACAGATGACTTGACTATAAGTGACTGGTACTGAGGACATCAAGGACATCCTAGAAAGTGTGGGTTCAGGACAGAGTGGGTGTAGCCCTGATGTCAGAGCTGGGGTTTCCTGGCTGCAGGAGATGCAGATGGATAAGCAGGGCTGGCACCCCATCCCATGCCACCTGGGGTCTGTCACTCACTGAGATCTCTGGGTGCCTTTGGTACGTACCTTCTCCTGGCGTCTCTGGCCCAAAACGCTTGCTCCGCCATCCCACGTGGGTGCCTTTGTCCAATGACCACGATGTGGAACTGTCCCTCTGTGTGGTTTTAGTAGAAACAATCTATTTTCCTAAGGGGTTTCTTTGTATGCCTGATTTTATTGAGAACAAAGAAAGGGCAGTGCAGGTATCCCCAAGTGGGCCGTGACCCAGCTCTCAGCCACCCCCCAGTCCGGTTGCAAGGGGCCGCCTCACTTCACGGGTTCTAGCCCCAAGCCATCTCCCCTTTGCTCTCCTCGCCCCAATCTGTCTTATCTCTGATGTCAACTTCAAATTCTCCATCTTACTGTGGTGGAATGAAGATGGGCCCAGGGTTCTCTGGTGTTCCTTCCACCGCGAGGTCGGTGGGGTCTGTGCCCCTTCTCCGATTCAGGGTAGACGCTGATGGCTTGACTCAGCAGAGTAGGGCAGATAGGACACCATGCCAGTTCCAGGCCTGGCCTTTAAGAGAATGGGCACTTTCCACCTTGGTCTTCAGGACCCCCAACCACCATGGGCTAGGCTACTGAGGGGTTCATATGGAGAGGCCTCAAGACTACAGGGAAGGCCTGGCTGAGCTCAGGTGTCCCCACCAGGTACCAGTTGTGGATGGAGCCATTGAGGACCCTCCAGAGCAGGCTTCTCACCAGTCAAATACACCCAACTGACCCTAACTGGTCCCATGCGGAGCAGAAGTGGCCAGCTCAGTCCAGCCCAATTCTTCATCTCCCGTTGGAGGCAGAAAATAAAGTAGTTGTTCTGGGCCACCGTTTGGGGTAGTTTGTCATGGAGCAGTGACAGTGTGGTGGCGCTGATGCAAAACAGCTGGGCTCTCCCCAGCCCCAGCCCCACAAAAGCCACCCCAGGCCCCAGCTTGACCCCACATACCCACTAAGCTCTTGAGCAGAAATAAAAGGATCTTTTGCAAGAACAGAAGGACCCAGGTGCCTCGAGGTCAAAGGTAGGTCATTTTGTCCCCTTCGTTGCTGGATTCCGGCACTTAGAGCGGTGCCTGGAGGATCTTGAACGTCTATTGAATGAATTCCTATAGCGGGATTCCTTCCTTTGTGGTGGCACGAGACAGAGTCCCTGTCAGGCTTGTCATTCCATCCCTTTAGACTCACAGGACTGACTTAGTACCCATGACAGACCCCGCCCAGGGACTGGGAGCCTGGAACACGTGGCGGGCGGCTGGGGGAAGGCTGTGCAGGGCTCACTGCAGGTCCTACCTCCTTCCCGCCAGTGTGTGACTTCCTCCTGTCCAGTGCCCCGCCGGCCCTGCAGCCCTGGTACACCGACCAGCGCTTCACCCTGCCCCTGCTCTCCGTGCTGGTCATCCTGCCCCTGTCCACCCCAAAGGAGATCAGTTTCCAGAAATACACAAGGTATGCGCTGGAGGTGCTTCCTGGCAGGGAAGTGGCTCAGACTGGGTCCTTGCCGGCTGGCAGCCTTTTCACCTACCTGGGACAGGAGTGCTGCCAGCACTGGCCTTCCTATTCGTAGGAGGGGGAAAAAGATTAAAAAATACACATATGTGTACATTAAAAAGTACACGTATGTGTGATAGAAAATAGAGATAAGCAGAAGGGAGAACTACCATAATGACATAATTTGCTTCTGACATTTTGTTATTTCATTATTACAGACTCGATATGCATGCACACACGTGCACATGCAAGCACAGAGAGAGACACAGACATACGCACCCTTTTACGATCTGTGGCTTTATGTATACTTTTGAAAAAATAAAGCCTGATAAAAGGATGCATGCAAATTAGCAACCCGCCTTTCCCTATTGTGTTGAGAGCAACAGTGGATTTTTCACTTTGGAAATAGAGAAGTGAGCAGGGGGCAGGAGACCCAAGCCCCCTCGGTGTCCCCAGCCCTTGCCAGTCTCTCTTGTCACATTCGGCCAAGACAGGGGTGCACCCTTGCCATGAACGGTGTCCCGACTTAGATGCCAAATCTGAGTGGCTGTGTGGCTGTTGGAGAGACAGGGGCTCCAGTAGCTGTCACAGCCTCACAGGTGCTGGCCCCGTTACAAACTCGACAAATCTAATCTCTGGGTCTGAGAACCGCCCTGCCTGAAATGAACTTCCTGCTGTCCCCATTGTGCAGAGAAGGAAATCGAGGCTCAGCCGTGAGAACTTTACCTGACGCTGGGGTGGGCAGAGCTGGCATTCAGACCTGACCCCACTCTGTGTGGCTCCCAGGCCCTGCCTGGCAGGGCTGGTGTCCCTGTGCGTTTCTGATCACTCTCTATGTGTTAGCATCCTAGGCACATTGGCTGCCTGCTACCTGGCCCTGGTCATCGTGGTGCAGTACTACCTCGGGCCTCAGGGCCTTGTTCGTGAGCCCCGCCCTGAACCGAGGTGAGTCTGAGAGGACGGCCTCTCATGGCTTCCTGAGAGCTGTAAGGAGATCCTCGAAGGAAGGACACTTGTCCTCCCCCATGGTTTGCACAGAGCCCTGTCTCCTCTCCTTGAAATCTTCTATGTCTCTGATGCCATAGGGCCCAGCAAAGACCCCTCTCCTCCTTCAGAATGGACACAGCTGTTGCTAGTAAGTGCAGGGACAGGCCGAGGATACCAAAGCACTAAACGCCACATTAGCTTAAGGCTCCTAGGCTGTTGCAGAAGTGTCCCCACAGCCTGGAGGCAGCAGAACTGACCAAGAAGAAAGACACAGATGCCAGGCAGAGGGAACAGGGATGCACAGAGGCCTGTGGCCGGTGTCGCCTGACCAGCTTGAGCAAGACCGAGAGTGGGGGTTGAGGGTGCCCTGTGGGGACACGGAGCTGCAGCATGGACTTCAGCTTGCTGGGAAGCCACTACAGGGTTTTGAGCACAGCTGGGGTTTAAAACCAGATCTGCTAGTGACAGACCAGCTCCATGAGTGTGTGACCCGTGACGTCACCCAGGCCCTATGCCACCATGCCAACATTCTTAATTATTGTTGAACAAGGGACCAGCATGTTCAGTTTGCACTGGGCCCCACGAATTATGTGGCCCCTTCTGGTTGATGGATTGGAAGTGGAATGTGAGAGAGAGAAGAGTCTAGGGTGACTGAGCTCTGGGCCTGAGCACTGGGAAGGGTGGTGGTGCTGTCCCCTGGGATGGGTAAGATGGACAGGAGCAGGTGGCTAGGGAAGAAGGTCAGGCGGAGATGTCAGGTAGCCGGTCAGACCTGTGTGTCTGGAGTTCAGAGATGCCTGGGCTAGAGAGAAATGTGATTGGGACTGGCCCAGAGATGGCATTTAAGGCCAGGAGCTCGGGCGCGACAAGCACTCAGAGCCCGCGGTGCTCCCTCTGGCACTGCGGGGTGGGGCAAGTAGAGGGGAGAAGGAGCTGGGGAAAGACCGAGAGGGCTGGGGTGTTAGGAGGACGTGTTAGCTTCCTGGAGCTGCTGTGACAAATTACCGCAGACCTGGCGGCTTAACACAACAGAAATTTATCCTCTCTCAGATCTGGAGGCCAGAAGTCCAGAATCCAGGTGTGGGCAGGGCCGCACTCCCTCTGAGGCTCTGGGGGCGGCTCCTCCTTGCATCCTGCAGCCTCCAGAGGTTACCACAGATCCTTGGTGTTCCTTGGTTGACAGAAGGATGCCTCACTCTGGTCTCTGCCTCCATCGTCACAGGCCTCGTGCGTCTGTTTTTTCTCTTCCTATAAGGACACTAATTGTTGCATTAACATTCAATGGACTCTGGTTCATATGACCTCATCTTAATGTAACTAATTGTATCAACAGAGACCCTCTTTCCAAATAAGGCTTTATTCTGAGGTTCCCAGTGGATGTAAATTGGGGGCGGGAGACCAGGGGACACTAATCAACCTAGATTCGTGTCAACTAATAGATAGAGGGCATTAGAAGGTGGTTCTCAGAAGTCAATGAACAAGATTTCAGGAAGGTTGGTGTGATTGCCACCACATGTTGCTCCTGGGTCGCATAGGACTGAGCATTGGACGTCAGTTTGGCCATGTAGGCCACTGGTCACGTGACCAGCTTGGTCCGGGCAAGAGAAGAGCAAAGGCCCAGGTGGACTGGGTTCAGGAGAGAGGAAAGGAGGCGGGAAGGAGTTTTTCTGAGTGGAGGAGGAGAATGGGCAGGAGCTAAGCGGGGACAGCCCGTGTTTATACCGATAGGATAATCCTGCAAAGAAGGAGAGACCGTTGATGGATGTGCCGATCCCCGCTGATCTAAGGCCTGCAGTCAGTCGGCGGAGCTGGTTCCTGTGCTCTGGGGACTCAGCCCAAGGCTGGAGCTCAGACCATCTCGTCCACAGGGCTGGGAAGGGACAGCACATATGGGCTCAGAGGACACAGGCAGCCATGCAAATGGAGTGTTGCAAACAAGGGTACTTTGCTCCTGGTTGCTATAGGAAGCTGGGCATCAGGAGACGGTGCTGTTGAGCAAAGTCGGAGCCCTGTGGACGAGATGGTCTGACGAGGCGGGGCTTGGCTGAGGCGTGTGGTGAGAGTCAGCTGGTACATAGCACAGAACAGGAGACACCACTGTGTTAGAGTCCTGTGGCTGCTGTGACAAATTACCATCAACTTGCTAGCTTAAAACAACACAAATTTATTAGCTTATAGTTCTGCGGTTCAGGAGTCCAAAATGAGTCTCACTGGGCCAAAATCAAGGTGTTGGCAGGGCTGTGCTCCTTTTTGGAAGCTCGAGGGGAGAATTCGTCTCCTTGCCTGCTCCAGCTTCTAGAAGCGCTCTCATTCCTTGGCTAACGGCCCCTTCCTCCATCTTCAAAGCCAGCAATATTTTTTCTCTCTGACCCTACCTCTGACCTGACCACAGCTAGGAAAGGTTCTCTGATTTCAAGGAATCATATGATACATTGGGCCTAGATAATCCAAGATAATCTCTTCATCTCAAAGCCCTTACCCCTTAATCACATCTGCAGAGGCCCTATCGTCATGTCAGGTAACATGTTCACAGGTTCCTGGGATGTGGACCTCTTTGGGGGCCGTTATTCTGGTACAACCAGGAAGCCCTGATTCTATAGCAGGTGCTGTTTATATCCCACTCTACTATATGCCCCCAAAGGTGCCAGAGGCTGGCATCTAGAGCTGCTCGTCAAAGGAAGCTGGAGGGCCACCATGCCAAAAATTCTGCCCCGTGCACACTTCAGTTTTTTAGGCAGCTTGGACAGAGGTCAAACCATCCTTGCACTTTGGGAGTCTGTTTGATGGATGCTGCCTGTGGTCCCCAGCCCCTGACCTCAGTGGGAGCTTCAGAGGGAGGTTGGGAGTTCTGCTAGCCACGTCCCACTGAGTTCTGCCTGTGTAGAGAATGTCAAGTTACCAAAATGTCAGCACAGATGTATTTAGAAAGTACAGCATTGAACACGCATCCTTTTCCATCCCCCCAAACCTGGTAGTGAACATAATAATTAAAAAATACTTAACTGTCATGCTTCGTTACACCTTCCTAGTATTATTTAAAATTCATCTTCAAGCCGAAAGTTGTTTTGAGTTTAACTTTTTGTAATAAACACCTGTTCTCATCTGTTTGCAGTCCTTCCTCCTGGACCTCCGTATTCAGTGTCTTCCCCACCATCTGCTTCGGATTTCAGGTAATCTTAGCATCTGTGTTGAAGAGAGTGGCCTTTGCAGGCTGTGGTGACTCCCAGCTCCCTTGGGAGAGTATGGCCTCCCTGTCAGGAGAGAAGTTTGAAGACTTGTTCTAGGATGCAGAGGGTTGTCTTCTGCAGATAGTGCCTGTGGGTTGGCTCCTGGGCTCAGTGAGGTGTGAATTGCCATTAAAATTGGGAACCCGGCCCCCACTGACAGCCAACAGCAGCAACACAGTGGTTGAGTCCAGAGTAGAGGGTGGGGATCTGGCATCTGTCCCCTCCCCTGCAAAATCCTGACATGGCTGTTGCCATACCTGGAGGCCCAGAGCTGCTCACTTCCTCATGCAGAATGCCTGGTGGATTGTGCCCCAGGGGTCTTGCTGCCTCCTCAGGAGGCTTGCAGGCTAGGAGGGTTGGAAGGTATGCAAGTGGCCACATGGCAAGGATACAGGACAAAATATACAGAGTTTCTGAGAGAGTTCATGGAGTGAGGATGGGTTGTGTGTGTGCAGTCCAACAGAGGGGCTTCTGATATAGCCCTGGGTGGGGCAGATTCAGAGACACCCTTTTTTAGGCATTGATGACTGAAAGCATCTTGAAGAATGTGGGAAGAGGCCAGGTGAAGCGGGGGCATTCCAGCTAGAGAGGACAGCTCAGGTGAGCCATGGAGGGGAGAGGGTCCTGGGTGCAGCTTGAGAGCTACAAAGGGCTTGGCTAGGTGGGTGCTCCATGGGGTGCCGGAGGGTGCTGTAGAGGGTAAGGGCTCTGCTCCCTGCATCTGTCGCTCTTGGGGTTTTCCAGGCTTCTAGCAGGTGGCAGCTGACTCCATTCTTTCATTGTTTATTTTAGAAAAGATTCGTCTGTCTCGTTCTTAAAAAAAACCTATCTACCACACCAAAACAAAACAGCCCCAAAGCAAAATCAAGTTCTCCAGGGAGTGTGGTTCAGGACTGACGATATCTCAGCAAAGCCTGAGGTTTTCTTCCTTCCTCCACCAACTAGCTCCTGTTTCTGTTCTTCGTCTTGCATTTTCTTTGAGAAATATTTTTCGAAAAACCCTGAAACGTTTCCATTTTTCTTCTTTATAAATGAGTTGATTTAGCAAGCCACTTACAGGAATTTCTCACATTTCTTCTTGCACACCCAATATTTTGAAAGATCCAAAGTGATGATTTTGCTGTCAACTGTTTGGATGTAGTTTAACCATCCTTCTCTCCCAAGCTCGAGCACCATATGGTGCGGCAGGCTTGTGCTGGGGGAGGGGGCGCTTTCCAGAAGCTTACGAGAGGTGCCCCCCTCACCTTTGCTTCATTCAATTCTCCTAGCAACCGAGGCCTGAGCTGCGGTTTCCAGGGACAGGGGATGTGGCAATGGGGAGTTGGGAAAAGATATAAATTGCAAGGGCATGGGTGGGGCTGAGGCCAGAGGCATGGCTGCCAGGATCCTGCTTGGAGACTCAGGAGTCTGGGGGTAAGGAGAGCAGGTGTAGACGAAGATGGGTGAGGAGTGGGGCAAGGCTGGGGAAGGGGAAGTCACCTGTTGTCATAAGGAGCTCTGAGCTGCTTCAAATACCCCCCTCCCCTGGGACTCTTCTGCCGTTGGTTTTTAAAACAGCTTTATTGAGATATTACTCACATGACATACCCATTTAACGTGTATAATTCAGTGGTGTTTAGTATGACCACAGAGTTGTGTAACCATCGCCACAGTCAATTTTTATTTTATTTTATTATTTTATTTTATTTTTTTTTAGGTGAGGCTCACAGATTGCAAGGACCTTGTCAGCTTACAATCCCTTACTTTTTATTTTTTATGCCTACAGCACCTGGTTTTCCTAGATGGTCTCCCATCCAAGTACTAACCAGGCCCGACCCTGCTTAGCTTCCGAGATCAGACGGGATCAGGCTTGTTCAGCCACAGTCAATTTTAGAACATTTTCATCACCCCCAAAAGGAAATCTGTACCTATTGCCAGTCATCCCCCATCCCCCTCATCCCTCCCGCAGCCCGCGACAACCACGAATCTTTCTGTGTCTGAGGGTTTGCCTGTTCTGGACATTTCATCTAAACGGAGTTCTCCAATATGTTGTCTTTGAGTCCGGCTTGTTTCACACAGCATCATGTTTTTGAGGTTCATCCATGTTGTAGTATGTGTCAGTATTTCATTCCTTTTCGTGGCTGAATCATATTTCACTGCGTGGGTAGCACAGTGTGTTTATCCATTCTTTAGCCCATGGACATCGGGCTGTTTCCAGTTCTTAGCCAGTACTTGCGCCTCTGCCCTGCCTTCCATCACTGAGGAGTGGAGAGCCTGCAGGCAGCAGGCAGCATCACAGACGCTGTCCCAGCAGGGCAGCACTGCCCTGGGGAGATCTGCTTTATTTCCCCCATAAAACCAATGGAAACATAAACCAGGAGTCTTGGGACAAACAGAGGAAGAAGGGCAGGGCTCCATCGAGCCACCGCCAAGCGTATTCCCCATTTCTAAACTGGGGAGACAGGAAGGAGAAGCACTGATCCTTAGAGTTCCACTGCCAGTTGGTTGAGGGTTACCAGGGATGTTAGGGCCCCACTTGTCTGGCTGAGCTGGCCGGCAGACCAGTCAAAGAAGACCCAGGGCAGAAAGCCAAAGGTGCATTGGCTCCCTGAAGCGAGTCTGTCCCTGAGGTGTGTGTGAACTCACCTGGGCTGGCTGCCACCACCATGAGAGCTGGAATCAGGAGAATGTGTGCTCTGTGGGGCTGGGGACCATGTTGGGCTAGTTTATGTGGTACCCTAGACTTGCAATGAGTCAGACTGATAAGCATTTGAGTGCTGGGGAACTGGGGTTGGGTGGAAGGCAGACCCGTGGTTGCGGGTGGGCTACAGGGATGGGTAAATGAGTAACCCATGGAGTGTTCTTCAGCTGTGGGCCAGGCATGCGTTTGGCATGAGTGAGGTAGCTGTAGTCCTTGCCATCATGTAGCTGACGGTCAAATGCTGAACAAGCAAACCCAAACCTGCTCACACTGGGGGCACAGGGACACATGGGAGAGGAGCTTGGCCCAGATGGGGAAGGCTTTCCTAGAAGATGAGTACGAGCTGACTGGACCAGGAGAGATGCATTTTATAGTTAAATTTGTATGGCAATATAATAAGTACATATAAAGTATATAAATCATAAGTATGTGTTCTCCCATGTAACCATCACTCCGGTTAAGATATAGAACAGTATCAGCCCCCTGAGGGGCAACCACCCCACTCACAGCATGATTTTATTTTCTGTCACCGTAAGTGGTGGTTCTTAAGTGGGGGATGATTTTGTCCCCCAGAGGACATTGGGCAATGTCGAGACATTTTTTTGTTGTAACAAGTAGAGACAGATGTCCCCAGGGTTGAGGCCAAGAATGCTGCTCATTATCCTACAATGCACAGAACGCCTGCTAAGTATCAGTAGGGCTGCAGTCGGGAACCCCTGTTCTGGCTTGTTTGGCTTATAACTTGAACTTCTCATACATGGAAACATTCTTTTATGTCTGGCTTCTTTTGCTGAACATTAGAGCTGGAGTTTCTCCCACGTTGAGACGTGTAGTGTGTTCATCCCTTTTCAGTGCTGTGTAATATTCCACCAGATGAATATCTGGTGATTTACTTATGCCTTCTATTTTTGGTAGACATTTGGGTTGTTTCCTATATTTTGAGACACTGATACTTTCTAGATCACTCGAAATGATTCTAATGCCAAACTGGCCCGAGTCCCATTGTGCCCTGCCTCTGTCTTCCAGTGTCACGAAGCTGCTGTCTCCATCTACTGCAGCATGCGCAACCAGAGCCTGTCCCACTGGGCCCTGGTCTCTGTCCTGTCCTTGCTGGGCTGCTGCCTTGTCTATTCACTGACAGGTAAGGAAGGCCCTGCCTGGGGTGTGCTAGGCGCAGTGCTACACAGTTGGAGTGCCTTCACTCATTTAATCCTTAACATAGGAGAGTCCTTATTTCATAGATGAGGAAACTGAGGCTCAGAAAGCTTCCATGGTTTTCCCAAGGTCTCCCATCTAGATGTGGCAAAGCTGAGACCCTGACCCTGGCCCAGCTCTCTCCAAAGCCCCTGCTCTTGCACACCGTGCCTCTGCTCTGCTGCAATAATGACGGTCATCATGGTGTTACACGTGGGTCATGGTTTACAAAATGCTCTCATGTATTCAGTGGATTTGGTGCTTACAAACCTTTGCTGTAGGCGGGAGGGTCTTCTAAGGTGATGGAAGTATGGCTCAGAGATATGCTGTGACATGCCCAAGGTCACACAGCATGCCCTTGACTGCCCACCTTGTGGCTCCTTGTTCTTTCGCCCGTTCATTGGAGCCTCTGACTCAGGAAGCCCATGGGCTACAGCGAATGTGTCAGGTGCCCTAGATGCCTGTGGTTACCTAAGAAATTTGCTGGGTGACCTCCGTTGAGCAGGGCCGGCCTGTCAGTCTGTGGCCCCTGGATTGGAGGGCCATGAACCGGCGATTGAGAGTCCCCTCCAGACAGTTCAGGTCCAGGGCCAGCAGGATCATGAGACCAAATGAGTCCTTGGTCAGAGAAGGGTGTCTCAGGACGGGGGACCAGGATGCCGAGAGGCAGTGTTGGGTTGTGGGGACGGGGCCTGGCGTGCTGGACCTGATTCTGTGGTAACTAGCTGTCTATGTGATTCTGGCAGTTGTTGACGCTCTGGGTCTTGTTTTTCCCCATCTGGAAAATGGGTGCACTGCCAGCTACCTCCTTTTTTTTTTTTTTTTGCAGTAGAAAAGAAAAGTTTTATTAGGAGGGAAAGTACACTTCCAGATGTGGAAGCGGGCCTGAGCAAGAGAAGCGTGGCTCAGAAGGCCCTGGCTGCCTTCTTAAGGTGCCATAGGCATGGGATGGACAGGGCATGGAAGGCATCGACACGGTTTTCAGGGCACTGTGTGCGTCAGTAAATGCCCATTCTGCAAACGGGCCGCTCACGCCAGCACAGTGAGCCATGTGAAGGAAGGATGAAAGAGTTTTGCCCAGCGGGAGATTTGAGTCAGAAGAACAGCGTATCACATAGGCTGAGGACAGGAAAGCCTTGGGAAGTGGCGGAATGGGGACCTGTTCTAGAACCTTCCATCAGCTCCTAGAGAAACCTGAGAGGCGGCGGGAGGCAGGCGCCGCCAGGGTGTCAGAGTTGGGGGGGGCACGGCACTTTCTCACCAGCTCTCCTGGCTTCCGCCCTCTCCACCTCCCAGGCCTTTACGGCTTCCTGACCTTCCGGACAGATGTTTCCGCGGACATCTTGATGTCCTACCCAGGCAATGATGGAGTCATCATCGTCGCCCGAGTCCTCTTCGCCGTCTCCATCGTGACCGTCTACCCCATCGTGCTCTTCCTGGGGAGGTGAGCCTGGCTCGCTGGGGACACCGCCCAGCGCAGGGCACCGACATTTACTGCGATTTATGGCGCGTACCCAGCACTGCCAGCTGGTGAATTTTGGGAACTACAGTCACCTCTGTGTCATAGAGAAGGAAACAGGGGAGGGAATTAGGTGATTGGCCCAGCATCGCCCAGCTGGTAGTGTCAGGACTGAAGCCTGGCTCCCAGCCTACCCTTGAGCACCCACTGAGTCACTGGCCCCTCACTGTCAGCTGCCTGACATGGACTGACCCACCTGAGAGCTGCCACAGTCCCCAGGAAATAAGCTCCTGGGGTGGTACGGGAGCTCGCCAAGTGGGCGGGGCAATGGAGAGGGGACTAGGGGGCCTCCGATGGTAGGTAGGCGGGCGCGGGGCTGAAGCCCTTGGGAGTGTGTGTGCCTCCAGGTCAGTGATGCAAGATTTCTGGAGGAGGAGCTGCTGCCAGGTGTGTATGCCCAGGGCCCTGGCCAACCCCTCGGGCCTGGGGGTCCGGATGTCACTGACCGTCCTGTGGGTCGCCATGACGCTCGCTATGGCCCTGTTCCTGCCAGACCTTAGTGAGATCATCGGCATCATCGGCGGCATCAGTTCCTTCTTCATCTTCATCTTCCCAGGTGAGGCTCCCGCTTCCCCGGCCTCTCGCCTGCTCATCCTTCCCCCCACCCCTCTGCAGGGAGTACCCATGTTGGGGGTCAAGGCTCGGGAGGGTAGGAGCCCCCACATAAGTAGGATGGCTCCCAGCCCTGTTTACTGAGCCAGGCAGGGGCTGGGGGCTTTATAGACCTTCCCTTGTTAAACGTCTCAGTGGCCTTCGATGGACGCGCCCGGTGGAGCTCCATTAGCATCCCATCCTGCAGATGAGAAGACCAAGGCCCAGAGGCCTCCTGGGTGACACAGCGAGTGTGTAGCAGAATCAGCCTCTCAGCGTTGCCCACCTCCCACTGCTACTGCTCACTGCAGGGTTTTGTTTACTTTTTAAAAATGTTTTCAATTACGTGAGATTCATGTGGTTCAGAGGCACCGCATGAACGTCCTCCTCCCACTTTGTCCCCTGACCCAGGAGCAAACACGGTTTTCCTGATGGTTGGTTTGTTAGGAAATCTTCTCAACGTTAATGAGCAATGAGATGTTCCGGTCCAAATGGCCTGAGGGTCATCCCGGACTGGGAAAGCCAGAGGCCAAGGCTAGTGGGTGTGCCCGGAGCAGGAGCTCTGGAGGGGCCGCGGGAGCTCAGGGCAGACACCCCAGCTCTGCTCTGCCCCTGGCTCTGGGAAGCGCTCTCACATGGCCGTGTTGAGGTCGGACAGCCTCCTCCCTTGGCCTCCCGGTCCCGGGCTGCTGGTTCAGTCATGCTTCCCTGGGTTCTGAAACAGACGTTAAGTTAGGCTCAGTGCCTAGGTCTTGGGTCCTGGGAAGGACCAGCTGGGCCAGATTTGGGAAAGGGGCGATGCCATGGGAGTTTTAGGCAAAGCTCCCCGGCTTCAAAGCCCAGCAGAACTGTTAAAACATAGAAAAATAAAAAAGAAAGGAAAAGGTAACAACGGCAGCTACCAGTTGTTGAATGTATCCCAGACGTCAGGCCCGAGTCTGGCCCTGAACATCTCATCACAGAGACCCTGGTGCGTTGTCATTGTCATTGAAAGACTCAGGCTTGGAAAGGTCGAGGTGTTAGGGAGATGCTGAGCTGGGACCCCACAGTGGGGCCCTTAGCCACCGTACTGTGCCTTGTCACAGGCAGGGCAAGCCAGGGGGCCATTTTGGGCAAAGGTCTTGCTGGCCCCTCGGGTCTCTGGGGACTGCTGGGTGATGCCTGAGCTCTCACAAGCTCAGGGCTGCTTTGAGTTTGACAACAAAGTGGGTGGAGTGACCCCCTGTCTCTTTTGCAGGTCTGTGTCTCATCTGTGCCATCAGCACCGAGCCCATAGGGCCACGATTTAAGTAAGTAACTCCAAAGGAGGGTGACAACTTGGCCCCAGAGTGAGGAGGACGGGAATGGTGCAGATGAGAAAATGGCTGGCCACAGGGGCGCGGCCACGTCCACCCAGAAAGAGGGTCTGAGCCAGGACTCGAACCCAGGCCAGCGACAGCGGGGGCCTTTGATCTTTCAGTCTGTGCAGGGCCCTCCCTTCCACTCTGAGGGGTGTGATTGGAGCTTTATGTGGATTTAAGGTCTTCCCGACAAAGACCCTGTTTGCAAATAAAGTCACATTCACAGATTCCTGGTAGACGTGAATTCTGGGGACCACCATTCAGCCCAGTACGGAAGCTCTGGAGTTACAGTGGCCATGGACTTGGGTCTCACCTGCAGGCCAGGGCCTCTGTCTCTTCTCCCCAGTCACCTTGAGCCCAAGCTTGGTTTTCCCAAAGCAGCGGCCTCCGCTTGGGTCCCTGCTGGGTTGAGAAGAGTTTTCCTGGACGTCTGTAAGCCTGCCTGGGGCTGAGAGCTGGACCCCGATTGTCTGGGGGCCCCCTCCATGGTTCATTCTCTGGAGCTTTCTTTGAAGTCCTGCTGCTTTTGTTTTGTGCCTTGATCTAAACTCACAACAGTTTTGCTGACGGGCTTTCAAGATATTTTTAATTCTGGAACTGCCTTAGGGCCTGCTGCTCCCTCAGAGCTGCTCTGAGGAACACTGCAGCTTCTGGTCGCACTCACCTCGCTCTCCCGCGACAGATGGGTGGGCGTTTGTGGCACCGAGTTGCGCTCTGAGATGCTGCTTGACTAGAGATGGTCTTTCCATGACAACGGATCCTTGCGGCCTTCATTAACAGGGCCAGAAATATCTCTGGCAGCCCCGCCGTTTTGTAGGGATCTTATTATCATGTCTCATGGTCTGTGCCATCTCTCCTGGTTACACCGTGAAGCTCGCAGACGTGGCTGCGGTGCTGCGGTGGCCGCCAGTTTCAGCCACCTCTGCCTCCCGCGTACTCGTCTCCTCGTCGCTGTTCTGATCATGAGCGACTTAGGGCTTTCTTCTCCTTCCTCATTTTCTGGGGGGGCTTCCTCCCCTCACCCCAAAAGGGAAAAGAGCAAGAGGGAAGGGAATTTGAAGCCAGTGTCTCTCTCCCCCCATTTCTTTGGCTGGGGGGGAATGAGGTTATAAAATATCAGATAGAATGAGAGGCTTTTTAAAAATTGCCTTGGGTACTTTATTCTCCCTGACTTGAAACCTATCAGGTCACGAAGGAGGCTCTGAATTTTTTCCATATTGACGACACTACTGGGCTTCAAATAATGTTTTCTGTGTGTGCTTGGCTTATCTGTGTAAAACTCCAGAAAAGTGTGTGTTGACATAGATTTGTTGACTTGGCAGGTGCTGCTTGGAGGTCTGGGGAGTGGTGTCCGTGCTCGTGGGCACCTTCATCTTCGGGCAGAGCACGGTGGCAGCTGTCTTGGAACTCTTCTGAGGGGTGGCCCATGCCTGAGCAGGATGGGGCCTCCATGGCATCCACAGGCCACCCTGGGACGGCTGCCTGGATCCAGCTGTGAACCAGTGTAATTCTATTATATATAAAGATGCTAGAAAACCAATACCTTCTGTCTTCACAGGCTGCTCATTGAGGCCTCTGCCTCAAAGGGTTTCTGGTGCAATGGGGAGGAGAGCGCTGGGGCTGCCATAACAAATGATACCAACTGGTGGCTTAAAACAGCAGAAATGTATTCTCTCACAGTCCTGGAGGCTCGAGTCAGAGGTCGAGGTATCAGCAGGGCCAGGCTCCCTCTGAAGGCTCCGGGGAAGGACCCTGCTTCTTTCAGCTCCCGGGGTTGCTGGCAATCCTTGGTGCTCCTTGGCCGGCAGACACATCATTCCAGTCTCTGCTTTCATCTCTACATGGCTGTCTTCCCTGCGTGTCTGTATCCAAATTTCCCTCTTCTTAAAAGTTCGCGAGTCATTGGTTTAGGGCTCAGCTCAATTCAATATGACCTCGTCTTAAATTACTTAATTAGGGTCTGCAAAGATCCTGTTTCCAAATATGGTGACATTCACATTCTGCTGAATATTTCTGGGGTACACAATTCCACTCATGACAGGTGGGGCTGAGTCCCAGAGAGCCCTGCTTTGGGGCGCCAGGATCAGAGACATGGGGCGAGGGCAGTATGCAGCGGATGGGAGCCCAGAAGGGGATTTCAGGGGCTGTCCACTGGGGATGCAGGTGGATTCAGGCTTGTCCTCGGGCCAGGGCACAGGGAATGACACTCTTGACCAGGAAATGACCAAGGAGATATATGCCTAGAACTGACCACGCAACCTTGGCCCACCTCCAATGGGGGTACCCCAAGGAGAGCCCCCTTTCCCTTTTACTCGCTGGACCTGAAGAGCCTGGAGGCCAAGTGGACTGTTTGCTCTGTAATTCCCTCCTGGCCCCACCCCAGTCTTTGGGTGAGGAGTTCCAGCTGCAGCGGAGGGTCAGGGGCCCGAGTGTCTGCCTTCTGGCTGAGGGAGGGGAAAGTGTACAGGGTGGGGCGAAGGTGGGGAGGCAGACAGGGGCCCAGCTGCTCCCCCGTGTCGCTGTGCTCGCTGGCACGGACCCTGCACAGGCCGGGCATGTCCTGGAGGTTGCTGGATTCACGCCACTCTCCGCCTGCCTTGGGATGTCTGATAGAAGCCAGCGGTGCCCGAGCCCGGGCTGACGTTCGAGGTCACCTCCCTCTGGGTAGGTTCTATTTGTTCTGTTGTATAACGTGTATAGGACTATGTGAAGTCGGTGAGGATAGAACCGTTTTTTTTGTTTGTTTGTTTTTGTCCAGCCTGTCCACCTGCATTTTTTAAAAGATATAATTCACATACCATGAAATTCACCCTCTTAAAGTGTGTAATTTAGGGGGTATTAGTCGATGCACAGAGTTATGAAGCTGTCACCAACATCTAAATCCAGTACATCACCCCCAAAGAAACCCCGAGCCCATTAGCAGTCACTCTCCACCCCCTCCCCCAGCGCCCGCAACCATGAATCTGCTTTCCGCCTCTATGGATGCGCCTCTCCCGGACAGTTCACATAAATGGACTCATACACTGTGTGGCCTTTCGTGTCTGGCTCCTTTGACTTACTTAGCACGATGTTTTCAAGCTTGTCCATTTTACAAAGGTGAGTCAACTGAGGCTTGGAAAAGTCAAGGCTGCCTGTCCTGAGAGGTACAGAGTGGAGGTAGGGACCAACTTTGGGTTAAATTCCCTCGCCCATTTTCCTTTCCCCTCCACATCCCACTCTTTGAGTGGCAAAGGGGGTGGGAACTGGCGCGCCCAACCCTGGGGGCAGGGATGGACCCTGTGCCCTCCTCCGCCCTGGCTGCCGCTGGAGGTGGGAACTTGTGGCTGCAGGTGTAGACCTGACCCAGGGAGGGGGACACAGGACTCTTCTCCGTGTGCTCTCTGACCAAGCCCACCTTGACCTGCCACATCCTGTGTTCAGTGGTCATGATGTCCTCCCAGACAAGGACATGTACTGGAGCAGAATTGCTTCAATGGAGCATTTGTCATCCCAGATCTAGCAGCGAGAATGGATAGTCAGTCATTTATTAGGAAGCATACCCTGTGCGCTTCCTAAAAGCACTGTGGCACTGGCCAGGAGGGCGGGGACTATGCTGGGACCATTCACAGAGAGTCGTAGATAAGAACAAAGCATGATGGAGTAAGGGTTGTGCCAGAAAAGCAGGCAGTGTATGGATTGGCTTTGGTGTCAGACTATTGGTTTTAAACACTGGCTCTGCCATTTGCTATCTGAAGATTTGAGACATTTATAAACTTCTTCTAAGAACTGGTTTCTCTACCAGCAAATGAAGCAGGCTTATGTATGCTATGATGTGGGCTTACTGTGAGGATTAACGGTGATAATGTATCTACAGCAGCTAGTGGGAGACCCAAGCAATAGTTTTATTTCTAGAAAACCTAGGTTGATAGTAAGTAGACACTGAGCTTCCTGGCAGCCAAGAAAAAAAGGGAAATAGGATACTAGGGCTCACCCCAAAGCAGAATAGTACAGCAAGAAGGAAGTGGAAGCACTAAGTGCTAAGAAGGCACTAAGTGGAGCTCTTGAAAGGGTGACAAATATCACCACTGGGATCGATAGTTTCCATCTTGATCTGTGACAGGTACAGATGTGATCCTTATAGGGATGAGCCTCAAATCAACACTCATAATGCAAGGATATAATGCAGCCAAAGAAATTCAGGCCGGGATGTCATCCTCTGATGTCCGACCTAGTAAAGGAAGGTACAAGCTCTCCCTTGGACTGCCCTGCTCCAATACTAAGTGGCATCCTCAAGTTTCTGACAGCAGCTAAATGAAGGAAGGGCTGAAGTGTTATCCTTGGACTTTAAGCATGGGCTTTGGGTCCGAGCCTACTGCCTGCCACTTACCAGCTGTGTGACCTTGGCCAGGCCTGTCCTCCTTCTGAACAGCCCTTTGTCCTCAGGTTGCTAACACAGAAAAAAATTAGTGCTTTTCTTAGCCTCAGCATCCTTCCTCAGTCCTAGGTCAGTAGCCACCCTCTTCCCTTCTTCCTTCTGGAACCATGGTTTAGGTCCTCTTCATTTTCCTCTAACGCAAAGCTGAGAACAGCCCCTCCCTCCCAGGATAGCCATGAGGACGAGCTGAGATTTACCTGCAAAGCCCATGGGACAGTACTTGGCCTGTCACAGGTTCCTGGCCAATGGTGATACCTGTGCTTAAGTGTAAAGACCTGTGTATCTCAGAACAGCTGTGAATGTGACCAAGTGACACTTTGTATTCTAAGTGGCTTGTTCTGCTCTGAGCAGCATGGGCTGCAAGGGGCTCTGAGTATCCTGGGGAAGCAACTTTCCACTGGCTCGGGTGCCCCCAAGTAACTGCACAGGGACACCAGCCCTAGTGCTGGTCCCAGTGCCTACGGAGTTGCCCGCCTCCCACACAGGATTGCCTGAGCATGCCTCCCGAGGACAGTTTGGATTTTGACCAGGACATGGCAAGGATGCAGGCTGGTCACTGAATGCAAATGGTGAACTTCTCTGTATGGGCAGGTGAGTTGATTAAGATATTTTGTTAATTGAGGTAAAATTCATGTAACAAAATTAACCATTTAAAAGTGTACCATTCAGCGACATGTAGTACACTCACGGTGTCATGTAACCACTACCTCCATCTAGTTCCAAAACATTTTTGTCACCCCAAAAGGAAGCCACATCCCATGAGCAGTCACTGCCTCTTCCCCCGGCCCCTAGCAACCAAGCATCTTTGTTTCTACATATTTAACTATTCTAGATATTTTGTATGAATGATTATACATAGGTGGTCCTTTGTGATTGGCTTCTTCCACTTGGAATGTTTTCAAGAGTCATCCATGTCATAGTGTGTATCAGTGCTTTGTGCTTCATTCCTTTTTATGGCCAAATAATATTCCATTGTACATATAGAGCACATTTTATCTGTCCATTCATCCACCGACGGACGTTTGGGTTGTTTCCACCTTTTAGCTCTTGCGAATAGTGCTGCTATGAACATTCGTGCACAAGTATTTGCTTAAATGTACCTTGTCGATTCTTGTGGGCATAGGACGTATGGATATACCCAGGAGTGGAATTGCTGGGTCCTTAATTGTTTGAGGAAACTGGGATCTTAACATATTGATCTGGAGCTGGTCTCTCCATGTGTCCATGCTGTGTGGTGTGGTGCTTAGGGGATAGGATTGGGGGCAAGTAGCTCTGGGTTTGGATATAGGTGAGGCCACGTGCTGTTTGACCTCTGGTGACTTATTTGCCCTCTCTGTGTCTCCCTCTCCCCACCTGCTGATCACAGGATGACATAGGCAGCACTGAGGGAGACAGTGCCTGCCAAGTGCCTGACTCTGTGCCTGGAACTGAAGTGTAAATTAAATGGGAGCTCTTATACCTTTTAGGGTTGAAATTTGTTCTCTTCAGAGCCCGTTCCCACCCACTCAGAAATGAAAAGGCTCTAAGTGCTTGTAGGCTGCAGTCAGCAGAGATGCTACAGTGTGGGGAGAGCTCGGGCAAGCGGGTGTGATGTGTGGCAGGAGTGTCACATGCCCAGCTGATAGGGTTCTTCAGTTGCACCCCAAAGAGCCTCAGCTCCCTGAGAATATTATTTTTAAATAGCTGAGCTGATTGGAACGGTACCAGCTTTGGGGTGGGGTGGTATGGGGGTGGCTGTTATGCTTGCTGATGCCACCAGCAGGCCCCAGTTAAGTTGTATTCTCATGAACAAGGTGGTTCTTGATCCACAAAGTAGGGGGCCTTCTCCCTACTTTACAGATGAGAAATAGTCTCTGAGAGGGTGGTTACAAGGACATGCAGCTGAGAGGTGCACAGCTGGGGCCTGAATCTGCATTTTACTCTCTTATAAGCCCACGTTGTGTTTCATTGGTTTTGCATGAGCAGCTGGCATCAAACCCTATGAGGAGGTGGCTGGGAGGTGGCAGGACCCAATGCAGGAGGGTGGAACTGCCTTGAGGAACATGGGTGTCAAGGTTCCAGGCAGCTGGAGGAGGCAGGACAGTATGGGCAGAGACCTTGCCCAATGTGATGGCTTTAATAACGACCCCATCTCGCAGGCTGGTGGCTCCAGGCTCGGGGCAGGAGGCAGAAAGATGCTCATCTTTGGTGCTGCCTCCCGGGGTTCCCACTGGCCCTGGACCGCTGCTGCCTTGTTTCAGGGCCTGTCTCCTCTCTCCCTCCTCCCCAGGCCTTGGCTGCTCCTGGTAGCCGTCCCCCACCTGTCCCCTGTCTTAGGAGAGGGACCGTGGCTGTCTCCTCCCTTATCTTTTGAGACTTTTGTGTATGATGTCTTTCCTGTTAACCAGGACAGTGGAATAGGAGTGGGGACATCACAAAGGTTCCAGAACAGGACTTAAACGTTATTTCAAGTCCAGGGTCTTGGTCTCCCATCCTGTTGAAAGAACTCATTGACAAATATGCAGGGGAGGACCAACAGTGCCCAGAGGTCTGGCCTTTGCACTCAGCATCTGGAAGGTGACCTCTCGGACCTTGGCATGTCCTGCCTGATATGAGTGTCTTTGTTTACCTGGGGCCTTGGGCCATGGGATATCGGCCTGATTTCAGAGGGGCTAGAAGTCAAGGTCAGCCACATCTATATCACTGACCCTCAATGAAAGCTCTGATCATTGAGGCTCTGGTGGGTGTCCTGGTTGGCAATACTCTATGCATAATGTCACCCATTAGTGCCAGGAGAAATAGGTGCTGTCTGCATGAGTCCATGGGGCGGGGACAAGTGTCAGGTCTATGTCTGGTCTTTCCTGCCACATGCACCTCCTCCCTTTTTCTGATTTTAGTTTATCCTTTTGCTGCCATAATCTGCGATCATGACTATAATGCTTCGCTGAGTTCTGTGAATCCTTCTAGTGAATTAGGTGGTCCTGGGGATCCCTGAATTTTGCAATAGCCACAGACTTATCTGTCAAAATACGTACCTCATGGTTAGCACCTCCATTTTATAAATAAGAAAGCTAAGGCTCTGGGTGATGTGGTCCAGGTGTCACGACTAATAAGGGCAGGACAGTGTGGGCAGAGACCTTGTGCCCTAAAGGTTTCACTCCTCCAGCTGTTACCAACTAGAAAACGGGAAACAAACACACAGCACGCTGCCGGTCCCAACCAGAGTTTATTTGGTGCCTGTCCCAGCAACGGCTGTTTGCCTCATATGACATTGGCTACGTGGGCTCTACTGCCATGGACACTTGGCCTAGGTTGGGCACTACAGGGTCTTGGCTCCTATTGGGGAGAAAAATGTTGACCAGGAGTGGAGGAGAGGGAGGTGGTGGCCGGTGGAGGGGTGAGTCTTGCTGAGGCCAGAGTAGGCCAGTGTGGTGGGGGGCTGGGCATGCCAGTGGGATGAGGAGTAGGGGTGCTGATCTGGGAAGCCTCCCCGTCACCGCAGGCCTCTGGCTTCAGCAGGGCCTCAGCAGCTCAGACGCTGCTCTGCCAACAAGGGTGAGGGTTTGGGGGGATGCCAGGGAGGCGGGTTTGCCTTCACTTCAAACAGCGGGAAAATACATTCTTATTTGGAAGTATATTGAAAAGACAGCTCATATACCAAAGTTTCTAGAAAAGAGGGGGTGATTTTATAAGAAGAGAGGACAGGGTGCCAGGCTCATCCATGGGGCATCGGGGAGCTGGTCAGTCTCGGCCCACTGTGCACCAGGCAGCTAATGAGGGGGGTGGGAGAGAGAGACACATTAAGCAGAGAAGACTGTAGGGAATGGGCAGCCCCTTCTCTGTGTCCCATGGGGGCTGCAGCGAGGGCAGCGCAGGCTTCCCCTCTCCTGCACCCTTGGACTACAGCTGCCCAGGGCAGGAGCGCACCACCTGCAGCCACATCCCCTCATTCATCTGCTGCCAACTCTGGGTGCCAGGCTGGCGCTGGCCTGCACGTGGCAGAGGGGGTGGCACAAAAGCAAGGCTTGGGACCCTTTTGTGGGGTGTGAGGTGCTTGCTGCTTGTCCTGCTGGCGAATCACGTTTCTGGTGAATCGTGTGATGTCAGTTGGGCTGTGGGTGGGGGTACCACTGTAGGCCTGCCCTGGGGGACATTTTCTCAGCCTCTGGCACAGGCCAACCTCCCCAGTGACTCCGCCTTGTTCTTGTCTGTGGCCCTGTCCTTCCATTTTGCGGCTACTCTGATGTTCTTGCCCTTGGTCTCCCCACCTCTATACACCTGGCATCAAAACTAGGTGCCACTTGTGGAATATAACGTCTGGCAGCTAAGGGAGCAGAATAAAGAGTCATGGGAAGATGCGGGTCTTGCTCTTCCTTTGAATCTGCCATCTGTCTGGAGAGGGCTACTACTCCTGGGGGAACCAAGGACTGGTGGCATCCCCCATCGCCATTCCAGGCCCTCCTCCCCCGCTCCTCCCTCTACCTGGCACCGAGATCCTGGAGAGGGCCTCAGGCTGGCTCAGCGTGTCCACCTTGACGTGCCGGAACGCCTTGCACACGGGGCTCTGCAGGTGCCTACAACCCAAGAGGATGCTGGTGAGCCCTTGAGGCCCCTGGGTGGTTAGGAAAGGCTTTGGGCAGGGGCTCGGGCTGTGGTGTAATTCTAATCCTGGCTCTGCCTGGGACAAGGGCTTAAACACCAGTCAGCCAATCTTGGGGCTCAGAGCCATAATGTAAAGGTAAGAAGGGGCCCCTGGAGAGTGAGTGGCAGGTTTGGGGAAAGGAACAGCCTGTTTCTTGCCTCCCAGTGAGTATACTTAATAACTTACTCCTGGATTACAATCCCTTGGGGCAGCAGTTTTCAAACAGTAGTGGCCTTGGCCTCAGAGCCCAGGGCCGGGAACCTGCATGCAGAGCCCAGCTGAGTGGGACGAGGTGGGTCACACTCCGTGTCGAAATGCTGCCTCCCACTGGCTGAAGGGCACGCATTAGCCAATGAAGCCAACATTCTGGTGGTGGATGTGGCTGGAACCTGTGCTCATTATTGTCTTCCCCCTACCACCCCTGGCAGGATATCCAGGACAAGGAAAGGTGCTGGGTGGCCAGGGCAGCCCCACCTTGCATCACCTAACCAGCTGCTGCGGGCCGGTGCCAGAGGACACGGCTGTGCTTACCTCTTCCATTCCTCCTCCGTCTCCCAGAACTCGTAGACCACGAAGGTGAAGCCATCCGACAGCCTCATGGCGGCGATGCTACAAGCGGGGAGGGGAGGCCAGAGTCAGTGGACTAGTGTGGGCCATCCATGGGCCTGTCCCCCCTGGAACCGCGCTCCCTGCCCTTAAATGAACCTAGCGTCCTCACCAGTCTACAGGATACTGTAAGACCCTAGTAAATGCAAGCCTGGCAGAAGCTGGGGCAGCCAGCTTGTCACCTCCCCAAGGCCACGCTCCATAATGCTGCTGCTTTTCTGATCAGAACGAGCCAGAGTCTGTGGGACCAGCCATCTAGTTGGATCTGTTCAGCACCCACCACCCAGAGTAAGACCTGAGCCCAGCTAGGGGCCAATACGTGTTTGTCGAATGAATTAGAATGAAATGTCATCTTCAAGGCTTGATATTCATTTCCTCCTGCCACGTTCTCCTTCATAATCTTTGCCTCATTTAACCCTGAAAACAATCCTGTGAGAATTAGCACAACGGAGGCTGAGGGAGGGCCCTGTCCTGGGTCAGTCGTGCAGGTCAGACACCAGGTCACTCCTGCATTACCTGTGTGACAGTGGCAGGCCACTCATTTTAAATAGGACGGGTGCTACCTGGCTCGGGCATGCTTCCAAGAACGTGGCAGACCTCCAAGATTGCATGGTCTCTAACACTGCCCCGTCTGGACTCTTGCCTGCTCTCCTTGCCACTTTTTTTTACACGCTCAGCAGAAGAGAATCCGTGAATGTTCTCGAGGAGAATTCTGTCATGGGTAGCGTCTGCTGTATAATTACAGGCAATTCTAGGTTTTGCCACTCAGGAAAGAAGCCAGGAAACAAGGCCGCTAGTAGTACCATTAGTTCATTATGCCCCAGCTAAAATTACACGTGGAGCTAGCTACAGGCTCGTAATTCGATGAGAGGATTGGGGATGTGTGCCACCCACTAATCAGATAGAACCATGGCCCTTCGCCAGATTCAGAAGGCGCTGTGTATGGGGCTTTTCTCTCTATGACAGACAAAGGTCATCAGAGCAATTTGGTGCATCTAAGGTTGGTTACTGCAGCGAGATGAAAGCAATCATGGTGATTGCATTTGCTCAGCTGACGATGTGATGAACTGATTGTTTTTTTGCGGGGGGTGCCTCTGCACGGGCACCAGGCAGGGTTGCAATCAAGCAGGCTTGCGGTATAGGGAGGACACAGAGTGTGGAGCCCTACTGTGTGCTGCCTGTGGACAGAGGAGAGGCAGCTGGGCCCTCACGGCTGTACCCCACCCAATCATGGTGATTGCATTTGCTCAGCTGACGATGTGATGAACTGATTGTTTTTTTGCGGGGGGTGCCTCTGCACGGGCACCAGGCAGGGTTGCAATCAAGCAGGCTTGCGGTATAGGGAGGACACAGAGTGTGGAGCCTTACTGTGTGCTGCCTGTGGACAGAGGAGGGGCAGCTGGGCCCTCACGGCTGTACCCCACCCACCCAGCCCCCTTTGACCTGCCTCACTCCCCTGCCGTGAGCACACTGCTTCTGTGGCTTTCGGTGCCATCTGCACGCCTACCACTCCCAGGATCTCCATGCTCCTACAATGGCATCTCAAATTCAACGTGGCCCAAACGGCCTGAGTGACTCCCCCACACCAGCACGCCGGACTTTCCCAACTCCTCTAGCTCAGTACACGGCACCAGCCTCTCTCAAGTTTCTGAAGCCAGAGAATCTCAGATTCTGCCTTGCCTCCTCTTTCCACACCCCCTGCTCCCAGCCATTGGCAGGTCCGATCAACCGTACTCCCAAACAGATCCCAGCTCTACCATTGTCACGCCAAGGCCAAGCCCCCTCCCTGGGTGACCTCTCCCTGGCCACCCTGCTGCACCTTGCTCCCCACCCATCCCTTCTGCACACAAAGGAGACTGGACCATGTCTCACTCATGCATCTCCAGTATGAGCTACTGCTCCAAACGAGCTGGGCAGAGGGAGGTGGGTCCTGCCCGCCACCTCTGGCCCTCGCCTCCTTCGTCACTCTGTCCAGTTGCACCAGCAGCTCCCTTTTTCTCAAACATGGCACTCTCGCCACCCTCGAGGCCTTGGCATCAGCTGATCCCTGCCCAGACTGCCCTTCCGCAGATTCTGCGGTCCGGACACTCAGCACTCGGGCCTCAGTGCATGGGCAGAGGGAGGTGGGTCCTGCCCGCCACCTCTGGCCCTCGCCTCCTTCGTCACTCTGTCCAGTTGCACCAGCAGCTCCCTTTTTCTCAAACATGGCACTCTCGCCACCCTCGAGGCCTTGGCATCAGCTGATCCCTGCCCAGACTGCCCTTCCGCAGATTCTGTGGTCCGGACACTCAGCACTCGGGCCTCACGCGGCCCCTCCCCAAAGCCCGTCTCTTGCAGGACACTTCTTCCTGGCCTCACAGCACCCGTCACCATTCAGAATCATTCTGCCTGTCCCTCTCCCACCACCTAGAATAAATGTTCAGGAAGAGCAGCCACTCGATTCATGGCTGTATCCCCAGGGCCTGGCCCCGAGGAGGCCCCCCCAAAAGCAGGGTAAAGGCACACATGCTCTCAAGGGGGTAAAAGCAAACTGGACAGGGAGAGAATTGAGGCAGAGAATGTCGGAGACGACAGTTACTGTCCTGGGCATGGATGAGTGGGCCTGAGACAGGGAGGGGAGAGGGTCTGGAGGCTCGTGCCATCAGCCCTCTGGGACCACTCCCCACAAGTGCAAGGGCTGTTGTCTTTTGCCGCTCACTCAGATGTGGCCATGGCCACCTGGCTCGGCTCTGCCAAGGAGCAATGCAGGGTGAGGCCGCTGAGGGGCAGCCACACAGTAGGAGTAGCAGCTGACACCGAGCAAACACTGACTGTGCGCCAGGCACTGGTTTAAGCCCTTCACATCTATTATTCCATCGACGCCTCCAAAGACCCCAGGGAATGGGTCCAAGCAGTGGCCCTGCTCTCCAGCTGAGTAAGCTGAGGTCCGAGACGTGAAGTCACTCACCACATCTGCGCAGTGGAGAAGAGCCTGAGCTGGGACTTGAACCCCACTCTCAACAGCCACCTTGCTGTGTGGCTCCCTGGGGTATGGGTTGTCCTCAGGGGTGAGGCTGGTCCTGCCCAGTCCTCTACCCCCAGGCAGAGCTCTCTGCCACCACCCTGCCCAGCCCTGAGGCTTACTCACTGGAAGCAGTTCGGGGCTCCCGCGGTACCCCGCAGGTACTGTCGCAAGGAGTCCAGGAACTCGCTCAGCTGCTCAGGGCACACGGCCATCTCCTGCCGGACCAGCTGCAGGTACTGTGGGGGCCACAGGGTGAGCGAGCATGGGTGCCTGCGGGCCTGGCAACCAGCCGCCCCTCGGGGTCCCTGACGCGCCCCCTCCCCGGCAGGACCTTTCAACCCCAGGGGCACAGTCCAAGACCCAGCCTCCCCAGACATCCCTTCAGAGAGGACAGGACAATTTGGTCAAAATAAAACCAAAAAAATCCAAAATGCACATTTTTCAGTTTTACAGATGAAAACTGGCTAAAAAAGAACTAGAAGTTAGAATATCAAATGCAGGAAGTAGTCCCACAAATGCTGAAACACAGACAGGGGAGTTTGAGAAGCCTCTCTGGATGTCCGGAGCTGCCTGCAAGGCATCCAGGTCGGACACCGCGAAACAGTGACCAGCAAAATTTGTTTCTGATTGAATTAGTGTCAGACATCATCACCCTTTGTGCCAAGTCAAAGTTTTTGATCACAGCCCTGGTGTCTTGAAGAATATCCCTAGAAGGAGTGGCTGACCAGTGCTGGGACTGCATCTCTTCATAGCGGTCCCTGGGGACAGGGCCATCAAGCCACCTGCATCTTGAGTCCTGGCTCAAGCAGGGATGAGGCCACAGGAGAAGAAGAGAGAGGCCTTGGGAGAGGGGGCCCTCACCATGTTGGTGCCTTCTTCGTCTGAGAGGCGCTGCTGCAGATCAAACCAGAGGGTCTGAAACAGCAAAGCACAAAGTGATGCTGGGGACGAAGGCCACCTCTGTCAGGGAGGCGTCCAGGGCCACCACAGAGCTCGAGCTTCTCCACCCCAAGGTCCCAGGGTCTCTGGAGTCCTCCGGGCTAGTGGGAGCTCCCAGGGGCCAGGCCTCGCTGGACAGGACTCAGTCTACCCTCCATGCACAGTGCTGGCTCAGAGGGGACCCAGGAAGCCAGGCTGGGAGACCAACCATAGGAAGCGGCAGCGATCCCTTCTGGCCCTGCCATCTGGGAGCACTGGGAGCCACAGAGGCCAAGCAAACCTACTGCAGAAGGACACGAAGGAGGCTCCAACTTTGCTAGGGGGTGGGATTCTTGGGAGAGGCAGTAACGGGGACTCAGGAATCCTGAATCTGGGATGCTGGTTTTTGCCACAACTGCTGGCAACAGCCCTGAGATTCCCCATCAATTTACAAATCACCCCCAATTTCAAGCCTAGATGCCCCCTGAATCGAATGGTCTGAATGAGGGGTGGTCTGTTCTCACTGGCCTTCCATGCACCCTTGGCTCAATGCTTTATAAATATATCCAACTTTTCAGAAACCTGAGGTAGGTGCTACCCCACTGGAAGTTCCAGAGAGCGGGAACCCTGTGCTGCTCACCACCTTATGCTGGTGCCCTGAAAGCGAACCAGAATCTCACAGATGCTCGGTGGCCACTATTTCACAGGAGAGAACCCTGGGCTTCAAAGGCCACGAAAGTTGGTTAAGTGCTGAGCCTCTCGCCTCCCGTCACACAGAATCACGATTCTCCTTCCTTTAACTTGGGCACCTCCCTGTCCACCGCCCGAGGACAGCCTGTGTCTTTGGTGAGGTCTTTCCTCCTTATGAGCGTATTGGCTGGTTTTTAAGGAAAACAGCAGCAGGTGTGTAGGCCTGTGATCAGTGCTGTCAGCATCTTGAAATTCTTAATAATGTTTGGACAAGAGGCCCTGCACGCTCATTTTGCGCTGGACCCTACTCAGCTGGTCCTAGAGCGGGTTCTGACTTTTCCGGGGGGCGCACTGTGTAAACAAGCTTTGTAGGTAGCCAAGGTGTGCCTGCCAGAGGGAAGACTATTCCACTGTTTTACAACAGTGTAGGCGTAGGTGAGCTCCGAGAGGGCAGGGGCTGCGACTGGTTCCCTTGGCTTCTCCAGGCCAGCAGGGCCACCTGGGGATGAGGATGGCAGAGGCACGGTGGCACCCGCACCTGCCCTTCCCTCCCCCAGCCTAGCCTCCCCAGGCTCCATCCTCCAGGCCCAGGAATGGCTCAGGTTGGCCCAGAGGGCGGGTCCTGGTTGCACCCTGGGCCAATCAGGGGCCGGTGAGGTGGGCCCCGCCCTGTCTCCAGGACGCCTAGGTGCTCCCTGGTTTCCAGCCAGCCGGTTGTTAAGGCGACTGAGGCACTAAAAATAAACTTCAAAGAGCCTCCCTCTGGAGGCGCCTGTGTAGTTGTTATGACAACCAGGCCATAGGGTCTCCGGGAGCTGATCCCACCCAGCAGCCAGCTCTAAATGGGGGAAGGGTGGGGCGGGATCCCACCTTGGCCTCAGCCCTGCAGGTGGGATTGCTGCTGCCTCCTACTCCACTCCAAAGTTCTGCCTTGATCTCCCCCTGCCCCCACGAAGCCCTGAGAACTAACCTCAAACCCATCAAAGTACTTTTTTTTGTTGTCTTTTTTACAAAAGATGTAAGAAATTCAGGGCTCTGAGCTACCTGCTATCTTGGTTTACTTAGGTATATGGATATGATGTGTGTATCTGCGTAGGTCTGGGCACCAGAATGCTATCTTGGTTTACTTAGGTATATGGATATGATGATGTGTGTATCTGCGTAGGTCTGGGCACCAGAGTGTTTAATAATTGCTAACATTGCTAGTGTTAGATGCTAACTACACGGCAGGCTCTGTGCTAAGCCATTAAGGCATCATTTTATTTACTTCTCATAACAACCCTATGAGGGGTACTATTTTGATTATTTTCTCTAGCGTTAGAGGAGGAATCTGAGGCTCAGAGAGGGTAAGTCACTGGAGCGAGGTCACACAGCTGTTAAGTGGATTAGCCAGGATGGGCCAGTCTGATACCTGAGCCCATGGGTAAACTTTAAGGCAACCTGTTCCCTTTCTTCCAAGAAATGGTCATGGTTATGGGCTGAACTGTTACGTGTCTTCCCCAAATCAAAAGTTCAATTCCCAGTACTGCAGAATGTGGCTATATTTGGAGATAGGGCCTTTGAAGAGGTATTTGAGTTAAAATGAGGTGACATAGGCAGGCCCTGATCCAATATGACAGGTGTCCTTCTAAGAGGAGATTAGAACAGAGACACACACAGAGGGACCACCAAGTGAGGACACAGGGAGGAGGCAGCCTACAAGCCAAGGACAGGGTTCTCAGAAGAAAGCAGCGCAGCCCACGTCCTGATCTCAGACTCCTAGCCTTGAGCTGTGAGAGAATAAATGCCTGTTCTTCAAGCCCCCAGCCTGTGACACGTGGGGATGGCAGCCCTGGGAAACTGATATAGCCATATTGTGAGTACCTACTGAGTCATGGAACATTCTCTGCAAACATGATTCTGTAAAGGCTGGGTCGTTTTCTCTTACCTGTGGATATGCCAGGTTGTATTTAAAAGACTGCATGCCGCTGGTCACTCAGGTTGTTATTGGTCTTTCCTGGGACGTCACTAACCTTCTTCACCACCATGCTGCGTCCGGGCTCCACCTGCCCAGGCTACCTTAAAGCCTCCTTGAAGCTCTGTGCCCTTGCCATCCATGACCCTGCTGGCTACTATTTACTCCTTGAGATGCCCCTCCTGGCTGCCCACTCACCCCTCTGTGGTTCCTTCTTCCCCCAGGCACCTCTCCTTGGGCCTGTACAATGGTCATAGTTTCGGGGTCTATTTCCTGTTCTCCACTTCCACCATCCACTGGGCGATGCCTTTCCAAGGCTTCCTGACTTCCGCCTCAAACTCCGGGCCTAACTCTGCCCTCCCTGGGGGCTGAGGAGAGTGGAGGGACAGAGGTGGGGGCTCAAACCTTACCTTGTTTTCCAGCCGTCCTATTAGCTCTGCCAGACGACTGACCTGCGCTTCCAGGCCCTCCTTCCTGGAGTCTGAGGTGAGTGAGAAAGAGGGACAGAGATGCTCATGGTGGCCAGGGCCAAGCCTCCTCAGGGGCCAAGACCTGCCCCACCGTCCTCCTAGTTCCAGTCCCCTTGGAGGCCCAGGCCCCATCTGGGCCACTGTCAGAATTCCTCTGGGATCCCCACCCTGTGACCCCCAACCCGGCCACCACGTACTCTCACCAGAAGGCAGGCTCTTCTCCTGTTCCGTGGCCATGAGCTTGTGGTTGGGGACGTAGGAGGGAGTGGGGCTTCCATACCACGTCTCCACCACACCATGGCCAGGTGTGCTGTGGTTCTGTCTGCAGTGTGGGTGGGGGAAACACACAAACTATGAGGGGGAAGCTGTAGGGCCCTGATCACCGTTACAGCTTTAAAACCTTAAACACTCACTGTGGGATGAAATGTGCCGCTTACCCTGTGGCACCCATCCCTGTGGACTAGGCCATGTGGCCTCTTTTTCAGAGGAGGAAACGAGGCCCACAGACAGGTGAGGTGGCCAAGGCTGTGCAGCTAGCAGGGCCACCACGTTGGGATGTGAACCCAGCCCCATTCTAGGACTCCACAGCCCCAGGCCCTGTTCCCCAGAGGTTCAATTCCAGGCCCCTCACCCCACTCCCTAAGGCTCACAGCTTCCACTACTCCTCCCTGCCTGCCTCACTAGGAGCCAATTTGGTGCCCGGTACCCTTTGGGGTGGGGGTGGGGGACCTTGGTTTGTACCTTCTCTGAAAAATGGAGCTAAGATACAGTTAAGAGTAGGCATATAACAGGACCGTGAAATCTGTGATCCTGACCTCAGCCAGCCCTAGAGAGAGGGGCCAGGCCCCGTCTCCAGTCCTCATACCCCCGACTGACGCACACTGTCATGCCCACACGTGCCCAGCGTCCTGACGGGCACTCACGGCTCACCAAGCACTGTGCCTGGCACAACAGGCGGGACCCAACCAATGCTCGGTGAATGTCTGAACAGCCGCGTGCAGAGACGCTGGGAAACTCCGCACAGGCATAAAACATGTGCCAACATGTGCGTCCACACACAACACATGCACACTCCCACATGCACGGCCCCCAGACCTCCGCCTTTGGGCAGCATTGCCCTAGTGTGTTCTAGAATTTGTGAACCTGACAGCTCGTAAGCCTCTCCCCTGTGCAAAAGGGCAAACTGACTCCCCCGCAGTGCTGGAAAGGCTGGCGGAGTCTTTGAGGTGTCAATCCTGGAGGCTCTACACATCAGCAGCAAATTGGATGTGGCCCTCAGCAGGTGGCACATTCTCAGGACTGGGAAACAGGATGGCATAAGGGGACTCGCAGCCGGGAGCCAAAATAGGTGAGATTTGGGGTGGTTTGAGGTGGGAGTACAGGTGGAACAGACTTGTCTCCCCACCACCATGTGCTACCCCTGCCACCAGCGTCCCAAAGTAAGGTCCCAACGTGGGGGCTGGCAGGTGTAATGGCTGACACGTGATGGAACTGGCAAAGTGCCGGAAATCAGCTATGAGAATCATGCAGCAGTCTTATCTGTTCTATGGCAGGATAAAAACAGCAACTTTTTAATCAAGATAGTGACAGAAAAGGAAGGAAATCTCAGCGTCAACTTCCAGAGCTATGGCTGTTAATTTTGAGGACCCTCAGAATCACAACACTGGGCATGGATGCAAAGCTCTGGGCTCAGCTCCCAGGGATCCTAATCCAGCAAACACAGCCTGGGGCCCAGAGATCTGCATTTCCCAGGTGATTTGGCTGCAGGTGTTCAGAACGAACCGTTTTGGGAACAGTATCATTGAGCAGCTTTGCAATCACATCTGACTAAGACCAGCCCCTTGACAACTAAAATACACACTCAAAGCCTCACCCCACAGCAACCAATGCCCTGCCGTGCCAGGCCTCTGTCTGGGAAACCTGCGACCTCAAACACAAATTCAAGGCTCAGTAATGCTCAGGCCCAGACAGCGGGCTCTTGCTCCCATCTATCTGCATTTCTTTATTTCCCCTTTATGCCAGGCACATCAGCTGTTCTAGAAAGAACAGGCAAAGGAGAGTTTGTCTCAATTTGGGGCAGTAAATGAGAGGGCTCGTGATGCCCTCCAGAACTGGCACCAAACCGTTTTGGGAACAGTATCATTGAGCAGCTTTGCCCTCCAGAACTGGCACCGAGCCAGGAGGACTGCTCCCCTCTAGACACCAGGCTCACTGCGTCCCCCAGCAAAGTGGGGGGACTCCAGACACTTTTCCATGGCTCCAAGGACATGCAAACGAGGCCTTAAGTACTACTATATAACATGGTGAGAAAATGACTCTATTTCACTTCTGCTTCAATCGATCCTCCTGAGAAAGTCTGCTTTGGTGCTACTCTGTCTTCGATGCTTCTCTATGATCTCCCCTCCCCGTCCCTAACAAAGAGGGAGCAGGCCTCGGGATCCCACCTGGCCGTAGGCAACAACAGGTGCTTAGTTTTACAGTTATTTCATGTATGGTAAGGTAACCACATACAGTTTCCTAAATTTATTTTCAGTTTTCAAAAATGAGTCAAGTAATAGAATAGTTTTTGGTAAACAATAACATGGATCCCACCTGGCCGTAGGCAACAACAGGTGCTTATTTTTACAGTTACTCCATGTATGGTAACCACATACAGTTTCCTGAATTTATTTCCAGTTTTCAAAAATGAGTCAAGTAATAGAATAGTCTTTGGTAAACAGTAACACGAGAGGGGACGTGGGAAAACTGATTCGGAGGCAGTCGTACCTGTATGTGTGTGTGTGTGTTCCCACCTGGCCGTAGGCAACAACAGGTGCTTATTTTTACAGTTACTCCATGTATGGTAACCACATACAGTTTCCTGAATTTATTTCCAGTTTTCAAAAATGAGTCAAGTAATAGAATAGTCTTTGGTAAACAGTAACACGAGAGGGGACGTGGGAAAACTGATTCGGAGGCAGTCGTACCTGTATGTATGTACGTATGTATGCATTGTATGTGTGTAGTTCATGTACACGGTATTCTTCTAACCATGGATGATATCATTCAATCCTCACAATCACTGAGGTAGATAGGTAGATAATCATCCCCATTTTACAGTTCAGGAAATAGAGGTGCAAAAAAGTTGCAGCAGCTTGCTCAAGGTCACCCAGCTCTCAAGTACACAAATGTCCCGACCGAGCGGCAAGGTGGCACGTGCGGGTGTGTGGCATACCCCCAGTGACCATGCAAGGTCCCCTGGACACACCGGATCTGGCTGGTCTGCTCTTCAATGGCCTCCACTGCACTCTCCACGGAGCTCAGCAGCGACTGGATCTGGTTGGCTGTCTCCTTCAGGAGAAAGCGGGTCACGAACTGGTCCACATTGTTCCCGCTCTCGTATACCTGTGGAGGAAAGGGAAGGGGAACGAAGGGGAAAGGGGCTGGGGGGTGGAGCCTGGCAGAGTATAGATCTAGCCCAGAACTGGGGGGACAGACACCTGGAGTTGGTGTCTTTGCCTTGCAGTAGGAAGGGGGGACCCCATTCCACTGCCTTCTGCATCTTGGAGGCTATAAAGCTCCTGGATCAAGGTGGGGGCTGTGGACTCAGAGACCAAGGTTTGAATCTTGGCTTCAACACTTAAGTGATCTCTATGGCCATACCAGGAGTCACTGCCATATCTACCTTACAAGGTCATCGTGAGGATTAAATGACAAAATGCATATAAAATGCTCAGCACAGTGCCTGTCACATAGCAAATAATCAATAAACAGTGGTTGCTATGATAAAGATGAGAATGAATATGGTGGTCGTGACAGTGGTGATGATGGTGGTGGTGAAGATGGTGATGACAGCGGTGATGGTACTTATAGTGATGATATGATGGTGGTAATGAAGTGCTGAAGATGGCAGTGATGATGGTGACGACGGTGATGATGGTGGTGGTGAAGATGATGGTGAAGATGGTGGTGAAGATGATGGTGAAGAAGATGGTGGTGGTGATATGATGGTGGTGATGACAGTGATGAGTGGTGTTGTTCCTGATGTTGTTGGTGACAGGGATGAAGTATGAGGGAAGAAAAATTCACAACCTCCTCTGCTCCCTTCCTCTTCCAAGGAGGATTCTTTGGACCCCTGGGCCTTCATGCTGCTACTCAGAGAAATGACAGACAACAATCAAAAGCAGCCAGAACTTAAACTGGCTCCCCAAGGAAAGTGCCTGAGACTCAGTCCTCAGAGGAAGGGGCGAGAGGGGAATCTAGGGGAAAACTGAGGAAGAGACTTAGAGGGCACAAGGAGAGGACAGATGAAGAGGGTTTTCTACAAGTTTTGCTCTGTGATGGGAGACAGAGTGTTTCCTTTTGTCAAGAGACAGCAGCAAAGACATTTCTTAGGGTTTCTGGATCCTTGAGTTTGTTTTGGCTGCAAAAGACTTTATAGTGGAAGGCAGAAGCCTGGTTTAGCCAGGTTGCTCAAGGATGCTAACAACCAAAATGACACTGTGTTGGGAGATGCTGGTCCCACACACCCTGTGCTGCTATCCTGGCCTCTTCCTCTAAGACTTGATCTTGCAGAGCCACCTGCCCTAGGGAATCTTGGAATTCTGCCCAGTCTCTGGCAAGGCAAGGGAAAACAGAGCTCTCAAGGAAAGCATATTCAACCATCCATCATGCTGACTAAGAATTAATTAGCAATAATTGCGCAATTGGAAACATGGCTAGAGACAGACTGAGAAACAGAGGCAGAAGTGGGGAGCAGGGGAAGAGGAATAGGGTGGGGAGAGGCCAAAAGGAGAGGCACGCACAGATGGGGTGACGTGGAGGTGGACATTCTGTGCCCACCACCAGACCAGGCCTGCTGGAGAGTAGCCCTGACACAGAATGAATTAGTGGCAAAAAGTATGTGAGTTTCTGGTAGCCTAATGCATTGTAATTGTCGATTATCCTTCCTAGCAGACAACTGAACTCACGTACAATCCAGTGATCAAAGGGCTCTGGACAAACAAATGGCCAAAAACAAACAAGAAGACATAACATGGTAAAAAAAAATTTAAACACGAAGAGAAAGGCTGCTAGAAGCAGTTATGCAGAAAATTGAGCTGAAGTAAGTATGTTAAAAGTACCCAGATCAGTGACTGGGGATGTATGTCTGGTCAGGGATCAATAGTGTAACTGGTTAGTTGAATTCCAAAAAGATAAGTTAGTTTCAAAGGAGTGAAAATGCAGCTTTTACAGATTTCTTCTCCGCCACAATCGATGCCTCAGCTGAGAGGCCAGCTCCACAGATTCCAGAGGAAAAAGATCAGATCTAGGAATTTTGCATTGTGTGGACAAATTACTTGTTTGCAGAATAATAGGGAGATATTCAGAAATCTTCGAATCTATGAAATTTTACCAGATGAGCACCTTTACTGCAAAGAATGCCTAGGAATTTCTCCCAAATCACCTAGGGTTGAGTCAGAGAGAATTCTTGAATAGGGAAGTTGTGAAGTAATGGTGATCATCCAGATTAAGCATTAAGGTTACAGGAGTCAAGAATTAAAAATATTAATCACTAACCATTAAATTTCAATTACACTGGATGAAGTCAATAAAGAGTGTGAGAGTATGGGAAAAATAGCCAAAAATCTAAAAATTCCTATAATTCCCTCCACCCCACCCCACCCCCCCAAAAAAAGGGAGGGGGAGAAATAGGAAGTGTTTTTATTAGCTAATCTGAAAATAGGATTATGAACATTAACAGTGTATGTTTTAGAAGTCACTAGTGAAACGAAAACTAGAATGTTTACCTTTTAAATCATAATCAATGCTGTAAGCAAAAGAAACCATCAGAAGATAAAATGTCAAAGAGACAAAGAAGCATAAAAATGTGAAAAGCACAAATAATGACAAAGGTCAAACCTGATAGATCATAACAATAAAGAAAAGCAGCCTAAATTCCCCCATGTAAAGACACCGACCTAGATTTGATTAAATGAGATCCAGGTAGATGCCCATCGAAGCCAAAGCAGCACCAAAGGACTTACAAAGTATGCAAAGATTCTGCAACCAAATTTGATCGAATGAACAAGATAAGTTGCAATATCACTATCAAGGTAGACTATCAATGAGAAAGTATTACACAAGAAGGATAAGAATATAATGACAAAAGGCATGATGTATAACAAGGACAGAACATTATTAAATCTTCGTGCCGTGGGAGAGGATGTTGCTAAACATGACTATGGGGGTTCAGATGGCTACAGCCACTTTAGAAAGCAATTTTGCCTTATAACAAGAGCCTTACACGGCTCATACTCTTTGACCCAGTAATTCTCCACTTTTGACAATCTATCCTTAAGAAATAATGCAAAATGTGGACAAATATTTATGTCCTGACATTATTCATAATAGCAAAAACCTGGAAATAATCTAATATGACCAACAACAGAGGAATGGTAAGTAAATTTAAATAAAAATATCTGAACAGTTTTAAGAACATGGGAAAAGTGTTTCTTGAAATCTTAGTGGTTCAGGCAAACTTTTGTACACAGGACGATACTAAATATTTTAAAGAAATACAGATGGAAAGAAAGGTAATAAACTAAAATGTTAATATTTAGGGATAGTGGGAATTAGAAGTGATTTCAAATTTTTCTTTATACTTTTCTCTACTTCCTAAATATTGCATATTGAATATGTACTGTTTATATAATAAAAATATTCTATAGGTAGCAAACAGGGCTAAAACTATGGAAAGAAAAAAAACATAAAGATGTAAAGGTTAAATGACAAAACAATTTAGTGTGAGAAATTAGCTCATCATTGTCTCAAAGGACAGTGGGCACCAGGACGTAATAATAAATAGGGATGCAAAAGGCATTGCCAGGAAAAAAACATGAAAATCTTTAAAATGGGCAAAAATAATCACTGGGTTTCTTGTCTAGTATACCTTTCTGGTTTATATAGGTCTTTCCTTGCGTTGGACCTACTTTTAAAACTCTAAGATAGAAAAATAAATGATAATGCAAATAATCCTCATCCAGAGAAATGCATATGAATTTTCCCTGGCGGAATGCAACTGACTGCTGCCCTGTGGACAGTGACCAATTTTGCATTTACTCACAAATTCATTTCAGGATTCCTGGTTGCCTATATACATGGCGTGTGTTCCTTAAAGTTTCCTTTGAGGCGGTTGTAACATCTTACTGTTCTCACATTAATGAATTAGTTAAATAAGATCTTTGCTGTGTGTGCATTTTGTATTTTTATACATTTTATATAAAAGACACGACTTTACCTTTTTACAAAGTTGTAACAGCACAGAGTCCCTAACAAAGAAAGGATAGCTATTTTCAAATTTTACTTTCTGAAAGTATGATCCATATCTTCTCAAGCATCCATGAGATAATTGTAAAACCAAATTAAATAATATGTAATGGAGAAATCACAACACATTAAAAAAACAGTTGAAACCTTATCGGTCATTTGGTTTCATCTGAACACCATGAAATGAGAAATGAATGACGACATAGGCTATTAGAGAATACTGTGAGAGAAAATACTGCGTATTAAAATCTATGACTGCAGTGAAAATAACCAAAAGTAAAACTTCAAACCTGATTATCAAAAAATTTAAGCATTCTATTTAACATGTGAAAAAGAAGATCAACAACCACAAACCTAAGGAACTAGGAGAGAGACAATAATAATGGTAAAAACTATAAATACAATAGAAAATGTATCATGAAATTTAAATGTGTAAAGCTCTGGTTATTAGAAACAACTAATTAAAACAGGCAAAACTGCCAAATATACGTTTTTAAAATGTAGCGAAATAGGACGAAAACCAAAACAAGAATTGAGCTATAACAGATGTTTTATTGAACTTAATCTATATTCAGTGCCTGTTTTGTGTTAATATTTTAGATTTTTTAAAAAAGCATAACATATTATGCATAATGAATCATAAAACTGATCATGGCTATTATAGTTTTGTTTTAAACTATACCAAAATGGACAAAGTAAAAAACTTAACTAAAACTAGGACTGACCTTAAAATAACTATCAAAAATAATCCCAGCCCGTTTAGTACCTCAACCCAAGCCTTATAAATTCTTTCTATTTTTGAATAGAAAAATAATTCTGTTAGAAAAACTGATTCACACACAGAAAATATTCAAAACCACCTACAATTAATTCCCACACTAACATCAATTCTCAATTCCCGATTAAGACAGAGATAAAATGCTCAGCTAGTGACAGGATTCAGCAATGTGATAAAAGAATAATGCACCAATTAGGGTTTATCGCAGGAAGCTAAGGATTGTTCAATCGAAGAGAATCTAATAATAGAATCCACCCCATCAATAGCTTATGAAAAAAATCATATGATCATTTAAAAAGGACCAAAAAGGCATGTGAAAAAATTCACTACCACCTCCGAAGACAAATTTAATAAAGGGAATGCAAAAATAATTTTTTTAACAGGCTGAAGAGGATTCTAAAATAAGAGCTGGTATTAATATTATAATTATTGGAGAAATACTAGAGGGATACACTTGAAAATCAGGAGCAAAACAAGGATGCCTGACTTAGAATCACTGGAATGTTTAGGGTTTGGGGGAAATGAACAGGACACAACAAAGAAATAGGAAGAACAGACACCAGAAATGAAGACAATAACTACAGCTGTTGCTATGACTGTATGTCAACAAAAGCAACTGAGTCAACTAATATCAATGGATGCAAGAGATGCATTTGAAATAATCAATGAGCTGCATTTCTACAAACAAAAATTGGTTCGAAGATATGCAAGACAAAGAAATGCCAGCGACAAGCTACCATCACCACCACCACCACCACTAAAAATGCACCAAAGGCCACACTCAACATCACATATGCGTAATTTCTGAGAGCAAGATTTCCAAAACTAATCCAAGTTGTAGGGGTAGACGTTAAAATCCTTTCCCAGATGGAGAATGAGGTCACATCTCTGAATAGTTATAACCAAAGACCAAGGAACAACTACAGATGCTGTCAACGGCTCGTGACACATGGCTGAGACGTGGCCCCATTCAAAGATGAGAAAACTGAGGCTGACGGAGGTGGTTTCAATAGCGAGGAGTCCCATTCGCGCCTCCCACAGCCTGCTAGATGCAGAGCTGGGGCCGACACACTCGTCTGGGTGACTCGGAGTCTGGAGTCTGGGGTGTTTCCATGCTCCATTCTAATCTACCATCTGCTTCGACATTTTCAAATATTAAATAGTCTACAAGAATGAACAATGAAAGGGAGCCGGATTTACATGTTATTAAAACAGACTTTAAAACACCAAGACTCAAAACAGCATGACGCTGGGACAGAAATGAGAATGTGGGCAGTGGAAGCTCAGGGTTAGGCCTGGCCATTTCTGGATATGAGAAGAAAGAGGCTCCTAATATACCACAGAGGAGTAACTAGCATTTGAAAAAACATACAGCATTGGTCTTACCTATGCCTGGGCATACAACAGGAGCTTAGTTTTTAGCATTATAAAAACTAGTGGTCATGCTTTGCTCTGTGCCAGGTTGTGCTAAGCGCTTTATAGACCTTACTTCATTCAATCCTCATAAGAACCCTATAAGATGAAGGCTCCCATTCTACAGATGGAGAAATTGAGGCTCAAAAAGGGAAGTGATTGGTTTGGGGTCCTTCCGCCAGGTCTGGCTGACTTTATCAGTTAGGCTCCTTGGCCTCACCCAGCAGCAGACGGGGCTGGCCTTTTCTGGTCGCTCAAGGTCGCTGGTAGTCTGCAAGCTCTTGAGTGTCTATGTGTCCCTCACAGCATGATCCACTCCCAGCTTCCTCCCTGTGTGCCTTGGTCAGTGTTCTGAAGTAGCTGCCCTTACTACTGGCCGACTGACACTCCACTCACCCCTGAGCAGGCCTAGAGTCCCATGCTGTGCTCCATACTTCCTGGCAGGTCCCTGACTCCATTTCCCATCTCGTTTCAGCCAGTTGTATAGCTATGACTCTGCAGGATTTACCCTTCTGAGCCTCTGTTTCCATATCTATGTGATGGGGGAAGTGAGAGTAGCCACGCACAGGGTTGCCGTGAGGATTAAACTGAACGTTTAATCCTGGCCATCATATGTTCTCAGAAAACTTACTGTGCCTCTTCTCTGTGGATGCAGAGAAGGAACACACCCCACCTGGCCCCTCTGGAAACGGCCGGCTCAGTGCGGGTACAGACTCAGAGGTGGGAAACAAGCCCATCCAAGCTACAGTGAAGATGGCATAATGATATCCAACCCACGACCTGGCTCCATCTCCTTGCCTTCCATCCACCTCCAGGCCATAAATGCAAACAAGGAAGTGACAGGACTGTGGGCAAAGACTCTGGAGCCACATTGGAGGCCTCCCTGCAGGACACACATGAGGGCGGGGCGGTCCCTGCACCTGGCCCCTCCCAACATTCCTGATGGTTCCAATGCCCAGCACACAGCTCCCTGCCTGGACGTGCGTCCTCATTCAAGACCATCTGACTCCTCAGTCAAGGTCAGATGTGTGAGTCCGGCCCCTCCCTCCCGTTCCCATCTTGTAACCCTGTTGTAGAAGGGCATGAGATCATCAGGTATGACGTTTGCCCAAAGATCCCAGAGGGCTTGGGATGCCTGCTGTTCCCTTTCCAGAACTCCATCCCAGGACCATGCCTGATGCTGGGAAAGGGTCTCACCGTCCAAACCAGACACCAGACACTGGATGGACAGGGCCATTCACAGAGCCACTCTACTCACTTCCCAGTTTACCTCAGCTCCCTCTAGGAGCCCCACGCAAAGCCCACCCCAGAGCCAGGCACATACAAACTTATCATCACGAATCCAGGCACCCTTGGGTAAGGATGCCTAGGAGAAAATCTGTAACCAAACCAGCACTCAGGCCTTGGACCCCATTTCCCCAGGGGCCACCTACGCCCACTGACCTTCTTAGTGTAGCCCATGGCCTTTAGGACAGAGTGATTCAAGGTCTCCAGGGAGGCCAAGACGTCCTCATAGTCCCCCATGTGGTCCACAAAGTAATCTGGGGGAGGGGGAAACAAACGTCAGGGGTCATAGGAGGATTCTGCCCCTGCCCCTGCCCTGCCCCTGGGCCCTCCCACCGTCCCACCTTGTGTCCTCGCTTGCCTCTCCCTAGTCCCATCTCCCACCATCACACCCCACTCTTGGTTCCCGGAGCTGGGCACCTACCACATAGCTCCTTGGTATCCACGTGGCTGCAGAGAGAACAAGGGAGAGGGGGACTCAGAAGCCAGGCTGTCCCGTCCCCCCGTCCCCCCGCAGCATGCACAGCCCCATGCAGCTGGTACAACACCTGCTGTGCTTCTGTCTTCGTGCTATGCTCTGGCACCACAACCCCACTTTACAGGTGAGATTGCAGCAGGTAAATGGCACTACCCCCTCTTAAGAATGAAGCGGGCATCCATGTCTGCACCTGTCTGACCCCATCACCACGCCACCCACTCTATTTCCTTGCCAAGTCTACCGACTGCATGAGCGGATGGGGCTAAGGCAGGGGCCTAGAAAGAAAGGGAAAAGGGATGAAGGCAAAGGCATGACTATTATAGGCTGAAACGAAACTCTCATGTGACACACTGCCTCTGGGCATTCCTATTTGCAGGGTTGTGGGACCCAGGCCTTGGGATAGCTCTCGTGTTCCCACCCTAGCCCCAGGGTCTGCATCCCCCATTCCTACGGCACAGATAAAGAAGCATCCTGCCCTTCCTCGGAGGAGGCTGTGCACGAGAATGCCAGCCATGCAAGTGAAGGTGCAGGTAGCAGCCTCAGAGCAGAGATGCAACAGTGCAGTGTGCCAGCGGGGACGCCAAGGGACCTGAGCGTCTGTGCACGTTCTGAAACCTTCCCTTTCTAGGACCCCGTTTCCTCACTGAGAGAGGAGGGGGCTGGCCTAGAATAGTGGGCTCCTCACAACCCGGGTTCAACGAGATGCTTCTGAGAAAAGGTTCCTGTGGCCAATTAAACCTGGGTTCAGAGGCTTTGCGAGCTCGGTCTTGGAGGTTCCCCTAATTTGCATCACATAGCAAAAGTTCTGACAAGTCCTGCAGGAAGGAAACCTGTTTAGTTGTGCTTAAACTAGCATTTCAGCAATCTCTCTGACCCGTGTGAATTGTTTTGAGCAGAAAGCCTACTCAGCATGCCCAGGAGCGCATGTTTACAGCTCCTACACTGCGGAATGTTGGAGAAAAGAATCCTAAAGGTTCTTAGAGTCTTGACCTTCTACAATAGTGAGTCTACCCTGCTCCCCACTCATATTCCCTCATGGTTAAACTCTCATACCAGCACCTCCATCTCCCCCCACCCAGCTGGCCCAACACAAAAGGCATCAGATGAGAATGAATAATCAATGGACACCTGCGACAGCCCTTTCAGAGCTCCCCAGGGCTGCAGGAACCTCTCTCTCAGAATCCTCCATCTGGCTCCAGATACAAAGCCCTTCACTGGAATTGGTGGCAGGAAGCCTTTTCTTTCAAGTGGACTTCCCCGGGACGAGACCTGTTCCACCAGGCCCCACCCTGGTGCCTAGCCCGTGCCTCCTAGGACACTCTCAGACCCAACCTCTGGTCCACACCACCACTGTGTTGGGCCCCTTGCTAATGCACCTGGTGGCAGCTCCTTGTCCAGGCCATCTCAGGCCTGTCTCAGGGGACCCCCATCTTATCAAATCTGCCCTAAGCAGCCCCCCAGGAACTCTGGTCCTCATCACTGGAGTGGACCTGAGGAAGGTGTGGGGTGGAGAAGGGGGCTCATCCTGCTTGGGGAACCCCAGGGAAAGGGAGGGGGTGGAGATAAGGTTGGGGCCAGAGTTTTGGGTTGATTCTGAGACGCAAGTTAGGGTTATGAGTAAGTTGGAGAAAAGGTTTAGTTAGGTACAGAGTTAGAAGTAGGGTTAAGGTTAAGTGGAGTCAGGATTAGTATTTGGTTCGTTTGGTTTAAGATGGGAGCCGGTGAGGATCAAGATGACAGAGTCAATGCTGGGACCGGGAATCCGCACACGGTACCAGGCCAGGACTGAGCTGGGCTAGCGGGGGAGTGACATCACCACCAACTTCTATTACCCCGCGTACATTCTGCAAAGCCCAGGCTCTGGCCCTGCTTAGTCACGTGTGCTCTGAAAAGACCAACTTGCCAATGCAATGTCCATCTGCCCACTCCCTAAGTCACCCCCGCCGGGGGGACCTCTGACTTGGATTAGCGAGTTGGGGGATTTCAGGGCCCCTGTCCCTCCAGAGGAGTGGACAGTGGAGGCTGGCCACTGGGGGAGCAGGAAGGTGCTTCCTCCCAGACCCAGTGGGCCCTGCTCCAGGACTCGGCTCACTTGGTGTTGTCAGAGTCGATCGTGTGGAAGAGATCCTCCAGTTCTTTCTCGTTGAGAACGCCATCTGCAAAGAAGAGCTGGAATTCCTCCAAGGACAACTTCCCATCGTCTGCAAGGAAGGGAGGAAGGAGGGAGAGCAGCTGGTGTCTGCGCAATAGGACGTGCCAAAATCCAGATGATTCCCAAACTAACAGATAAAGTCCGGTCCGCTAATCCCTGCCCGCCCAGCTAATTCCCAACCTAACGATAAACTCCGGTTCGCAGAAAATCACTGACTCATCCAGCAAATTCCCAAACCAAAAGACCAACACCTATTTAGAGATAATCCCCAAACAGACAAATATAACAAGTAGTAGCTAGTCTGCTGGGGCTCACTCTGCACGCAGCAGTTAACGGAGCACCCGCTCCCTGTCAGGCAGCCTCCTCTCATCTGATTGGCCTGGCCACCTGGGGTCGGCCACCTGGGGTCGGCACCATTTTCGTTAGCACCTGGAAGAGGGAGGTCCAAAGCCGGGCAGTCTGATGACCACTTTCTCTTGCTTCTAAATGTCCAGATAGTCTCTTCACACTCATAACATCTCCAAAGCTAGCACCTCTCTCTACTCTGCCCCATCCACTTGGCGAACTTCGGGTCCAAACCTTTGCATGGCCTGACGTGAGACGGCTGCCAGCAGTTGGCACGGAGTTCTCAGCGTGCCACAGATGTGGCCATAAGGATGCCAAACCACAAGGAGAGGAGGTGCCTGGCCCCAGCACTGGCCAGAGCACTCAGGGCTGGAGGCTGTGCTTCTGGGATGGGGACGGGGTGGGGCTCTGTAAGAGGGCCCACTACAGCTGATGCATGCCACCTGTCCCATCCGCTTCCCTCTCTTTGTCTCATCTCTTCTCCCTCTACTTGTAGTCGCCCTGGCACCAGCATCTGCTAGGGAAGCTGTCGTGGGTTAGGGGCAGAAGGGCCACAGCAGAACACCAGTAACTCCTGGAGAAACAGTCCCCAAGCTTCCACCCTCAGCTCCTCCCACCTGGGCATACCTGCTGAGCGAACTCCTGCAAGCTGATCTCCAGCCCTCTGCAGCCACCACCCCCTCCTTTTTTTTCCTCCTTAAAGGAGCCACGTCTGTGGGAGGCAGTGGAGGTCAGGGAGAAGGGCAAGCCCCCAGCCCCTCTCCACAGACCCCCTTCCATTACTTCCTGCCAGTCTGTAATCCAAGCCCCTGCAGGCCTTCATGATACCACTGTGTGGGTTACAAAGAGACGCCCCTTAGCGGGGCGGGGAAGGGGGGATGTAACCGAGCCTCAGGGCACATGGGCTGGGAGCAGAGTGCACACTGGAGCTGAAGCCCTCAGGTAGGTGGCCCTGTGCACGCACAACTCGCCCAGCCATACTTGGCAGACCTACTTAAGTCCAGAGCAGAAGTCACTCTTATATTTTAAAGGCTCTGCAGCTTCTGTATCTGCTCCCAGCTGCTCTGCGGGGAGGACTCAAAGGAGGCAAAAGGACGAGCTCAGGGGAAGGAGACCCTCACCCTCCACCCATCTTCAATCGAACCTCATCAAGCACAAAGTATCAGGGGCTGGGAGGGCGGGAGAACACTGACGTGTGTGAGTGCAGGCACGTACACGGGGTTTAGGGGCGACGTCCCGGGATGCTTCCAACATCCTGACCCGGGTTTCAAGGTCACAGAAGGAGAATGAATTTGTAACTTTCAGAAAACACAAGAGTCCCCCCAATACACACACACACACACACACACACACACGGGACCCAGAAACCAAGCCTGAACGTACATGATACCGGCTGTGAAATACATAAACTCTAAGTCGTGGCTCTGTGTTCTGTGCAAGAGGAGACTTTCCAAGTTCCCTTTGGCAAGATTGGTGATAAAAATCAGGAACCACAGTGCAGAATCAGGGGAGATGCATGGGGCTCTTACTGCGTGTTCACCCATTCAGTCTTCACCACACCCCATAGCACACATAATGCCATCACCCCCATTTTACAGAGCAGTAAACCGAGGCAGAGTGGTTAAGGGACTTGCCTTGGCCCCACAGTTGGAGCTTGAACCCAGGCCATCTGGCTCCCAAGTCCACGCTCTCAACCCAACCCAGGGTGGGGTCTTGTGGTGACACCCCCAGCCACAGGGCTACATGGAAAAGCTGAGGCCAAGTCCGGACTCAGTGAAAGTGTGCTATGATTGATTAGTCATGCCTGCCATGGGCACAGCTGGGGTGTCTCCCTGCCCCCATCTCCTCCTGCCTATCTGGGCACCTCTGCCCAGTCTGCACTAGGGAGAGCAGGCAGGGAGAGGCTCGCCAGGCCCCCTGAGCACAAAGCCTTCCTGGTTGACATTTACCTTAAATGTCCACCACAGCCCTAATGAATCCAAAGCAGCTAATGAGGAAAGCGACCTCTCCTACCCAGGCCCTTGCCCAATTAGACCAGTGGGCCTAGCATCTCCACGTCCGTCCGGGAAGGACCCCGAGTGGGACATTTGTAGGCCTCTTCCCTAATTAGCATGAGCTCAGCCTCTGTCGCAGTGACCTTTCAAATGCCAGGAGTCTGCTAGTGTCCGCATCCCCAGAGAGAAACGCAATTGGCACTTAGCCCTCCACCGGCACCACCGACCACCTGCTGGGTTTTGTAACCCAGGCTGTTAGGCCGGCCTGTCTCTCAGCTGCCCCTCAGCAGCTGTGCCCGGTCTCCACCTCCGTGAAGAAGTCTCTGTCCTAGGAGCCACGAGGACGGGCCAGTGCGAGCCCCCGCTCCTGAGATCCTGAGGACCTCTTCCTCTCCAACCTCAGCCCAGGCCCTGGCTTGAGACCACATGCCCATCTTCCACCCCCAGGAATCTCACTCCCATGGACACCTGGGCAGGGCTGGGACCTGCTCGTGTTCAACAAGTGTGTGCTTGTGCTCTTGTGTGTCTCTATCTACGTCTACACCCATACTCATCGTTATGTCCGGGTACTCCCATCCCCCACCCACATAATGTTTTCAAACCGTGCTGGGATAAATCTGAGCCCGGCGGCCCCCTCCCCGCCGAGGATCTGCAGTCTGTCACTAGTCCTCTCTGAGCCTTGCTTCTGTCATCCGTAGTAAGGAGGATGGTGCTTCCTCTCTGTGGGAGCAGAGTGAAGACTAAATAAGGTCCATGAAAGTCTTAGTGTCTAACAGATGCTCGGTGGCCCCTGGCAGCCTCCACCAGCCAGCGGACTCCACGGGGAGGGAACCAAACGCCTGCTGAAAAACCAAAGCCTTTTTCCAAAGCGCTCAATACTAGGCAGCTGGGACAGGGCTGATTCCTCACAGTGGGCCGGAGCTCCACTCTCCATCCTCATGACAGCCCTCTGAGCTGAGAACTAGTTTCATCATCCCCACTTGTAGGTGGGGAAACCGAGGTACAAGAGTTTGGTGACTGGCCTAAGGTCACAAACCTGGGAAGTGGCTGAGCCGGGGGTCAAGCCCAGGCAGTCCCTGTGACAGAGGAGGGACCCCACCTCCCCGCCACAGGCTCCACATCCCACACACACATTAACCCTGGTGACAACCCCCCACAGTCACTCAGTGGTGGCTGGGAAGGCATAGCGCCCCAAGAACAGGAGTAGGCTCGGCCTCTGTGGGGGCCACAGGAGTTGAGGGTCCCTGCAGCTGTGCTCAGGGGGTGGGAACATGGCCTCCGATGGGGAATAAGTAAGGAAGACAAAACCCCATCTACGCCTGAATGGAGACCAGGGTGCCACTGACCACCCACACATTGCAAAGGTCTCTACAGAGCACACACTCAGAAACACGCACACACAGACTTGAGTACGTACAGCAAGTTAGAGACACATCGCTCAGACTCACAAACTCGTGCAGATACACACACGCACACACACAACTCCACATCCACGTGGACGCACACACTCCCTGCAGTACGCTGGAGATCATAGCCAGACACACCGCTGTACCCCAGTGCCACACAGCCTCACTCTCATCCATGAATAAATCCATTACCTGAAGTTTATAGGCATTTTCTGAGGACCTACTGTGTGCTGGGTATCAGGCCCATGACAGGGACAAAACCCCAATTCCCACTATAAAGACCTCACAGTGTGCTGGAGGGGACTGGCCAGCATCCAGCAATGACCATGCGCAGTCCCAGGCTGGCCCCTCACTGAAGACACCAGGGAGAGGAAGAGCCCCTTAACCCCCTTCTCTGATCTCTAACACTGTTCAGGCAGCGATGCCACCACCATTTTTTGAGCCCCACTGAAGTCGCCCCCTCTCCCTCCTCCTTGTTCCATATGGAATTGCTCTGATGGTCCTTTGTCCAATGAGGCCTGTCGTCACCACCAGCGATGGGGACAAGAGGTGGTTCCCCCGGGTAGTGACTTCCAGCCCAGGCCTGTGTACCCACTCCCATCCCACAAGGCCTCACGTCCCACCCCTGCCCCCAACACCATGTGGGGCAGAGCAGCAGTAATGCCCACGGACAGGTAGCAGGGCTGGGGCATGTGAGCTGCGACTCAGGGTAGAGCTGGCATCTTGAACTCCAGCCTAGGCAGGAGAGTGACTGGGACTTGGTGCTTCAGGGGACCTGAGGGCCCTGGGGGACGAGCACCATCTGTTCCTCGCTTTTCCCCCAGCATAGGCCTTGATAAACAATCGGCATTTCTCCACGAATGAACAAATAAACACTGGGCACTGCTTAATTCTCTCTAAAAACGTCTATCCCCACATCTCCTCCCTGTATTTTCCCAACAGCCCAGAAAAGTAGACAGGTTATCACCCCACTTTACAGGTGGGGAAACTGGATAGGAAATGCGCCTTAATTAAAGTCCGGGTAGGGTTGCTTCGGGCCAGAGAATAATGACAACGGTATTTACAGGAAGTTGTGCTGCTCTGCTGCTCCCGCAAGGCTCAGACAGGCCTTGGGAAACTTGGTTTATCTTCAGCTTCTGGCCTTCCTCGTACAGGGCAGAGCCCCTCCAAGCAGTCAGAAGTGCAGTGTCACGAGTTCTCTGGCAAAACAATGTGCTGCTCACAGAGTTACGGAGTCTGTGGGACATGCGGAAAAGGGCTGGGGTCTTGCACAGCTGTGCTACCCTGGGCAAGTCACGTAACCCCTCTGGGCCACTACAGAGTTGACAGAACAGGGGCTACAGCACTGACTGCATCCGGTTGCTGTGAGGAGGACGTGTGCCAGGGACTGGGAAGGCCCAGAGTGAGGTGGGGCTTCCCCTGCCTGGACCACCTTGGTCCAGCCCGGCGCCATAAAAGTTAAAGCACATCAAGCATTTACCACCAGCAAGACATCCTGGCATCACAGGCATCGACTCACTGAATCCTCACGGCATCCCCACTACACAGGAACTATGGGAACCCCACTGTTCAGAGGGGAACGGAGGCAGACGGAAGAGCCAAGATTTGGATTTCAGACTTCAGAGACCTGCACTCTTAACCTTCTGGTTCAAGGTTGTCCAGACTCTACTCCCCTTGCTCCCCATCCCTTTCCCCTGAAGCACCAGGATAGAAAGAGCCAGGTCCTCTTCAGGGACAGCCCGGAATGGAAACTCACCATTTTTGTCCGCACGGCGGAAAATCTGCAGAGAAGAGAGGTCGGTCAAGTCAGCCCTGGGGAAGGGAGGCAGGCGCCTTCCCGGGGCTCCTGACCTGATACTGAGATCCCACTCCTTCCCAGGTGGGCCTGGGAAACTGAGCCCCGCCCCTTCCTTCCTCTCCAGGGAGACCTCCACCTGGCTCGGATCCAGGGGCAGGCAAGGGATGTTTCAGGCAGAGGCCCTCCCAGCCGCCCTCATGGAAGCGGCCACCCACTCTCCCTTCTGTGCCACAGCCTGCCCACGGCCACACTGACAGGCACATGCACACGTGTGTGGACACTCTCGCTCACACCCATCCACATGCTTGGGGGTGCATTCCCAGGGCCATCGCTCCACGAAGCTTCACCCACTGTCGCACACTCAGAATTTGTGTCCCATGGATGCAGCCGCATGTCTTAGACCATTGCACCCCTCCCAGAACCCCTTGAGGACCCCAGTTTTCTACAGGGAGGTTGAGTTAAGTCTAAACAGAGGTATCTGCTAAGAGAACCTCGAGGCTTGGCAACTGGACCAGCTGCGGGCAGGAGTAGATTTCTGGGGGGTGGGGGAGTAGGTAGAAGCAGGTCACCAGGAACTAAAAAAACCAGTTGCTGCATCAGGCAGGGATGAGGAGGAGACAGCCCGAGCCCCTACTCCCTCCCCCCGCCCGAGCTTAGAGATCAGATAACTCCTCCTCCTGGTATTTTGGGACCAGGTGAGCCATGCTAATGGAAGAGGAGGGGAGGCACCACCCCCTCTGACCATCCACCTCTGGTCCTTCCCTGGGGAAAAGGACAGATGCCCTCCCGTTCCTCTAAGCAGTGGGGCAGGCATCCATCATCAGGTGCCTGGGGCTGTGACAGACTGAAGCAGCAGCTCAGAGGGCTTCTCAGATATTACCCTCCTCCTTAGCTGAACCCTGAGTCTGGGGTACCGGGCAAGAGCCACCATGGCCGGGGCAGAAAACGGAGCAGTTACTGAAGCGCCCCAGCCCCTCCTCAAAGCCTCAGCCTGGGCGCTCCACACCCCTGCTCCTGACTGTAAGGTTCCTTGAGGCTGGGGTCCCACCTTCAGGTGTTAAACTGGGGAATGACACGACCACATAATGTGGTTCCAGGAGTCTGCACAAGCACTGTGAGCCCCGACCTCCTTGCCTCACCCCTTTTCAGAGATGAGGAAATGGAGGCTCAGAGCCCTCACGTGGCACTCTAGGACCCTGGAGCCCACCTCCTGCACTGTTAGAAGAGCATTGG